TACGACACATTGTAGATTTTGAAACGATAAATAAAGTTGCGGTTTGAACGCCCGAACGTTTCTCGGTTCGTAATTAATCAATTAACTTTTAATTAGGCGTGCGAAATGTTGCGAACCGTACGGAGCGTACAGTTAAACGCTGCTTTTAACATTGATCATCTATTCGTAATGTATCAATCACCGTTTCTAATTATTAACACTCAGCGACGATATTTGAAATTTAACGGTTTGTAAAACGGCTGATTACGAAAAAAAAATAAACACCGCGAACAGCCGCGAAGCTCCAGCCACTAAATCCGAATTTTCTCAAGCCATTTTTTTTTTTTTTTTTTTTTTTTCATTAAAGAACAATTATCGTTCGTAACCACCATATTACGCTAGGTGTTAATTATTTGCAAAATGTGAGATTTTCGCATCGGAATTGTGCGTTTTAGGACTTTAACATCGAGACACGATTTCATCGCCTTAACGTTCATTGGGGATCTGTGAGGATGTTGCAAAGTCAAAAATACACCCCATCCAACGACAAAATAAAAAAAAATTTATATTGAAATTTAACCAATATTATATTCATTTCAGTTTGCCCGTGAACAAACAACTATAATGTCCGAATTGAGATCATTAATTACACATGGAACTAAAAAAAAAATGCAAATATATATACACACACACAAAATATAAGGCAATAATCTTTTTTAACGGGAAAAATTCCGAGAAAAAATAGTTTTTAAAAAAAATCCGTTTTGTTCGTTTAGATTAACAATGAAAAAATTCATATTTTTTCATGCCTTATGTTTCTTGAACGATAAACATAAACAAATATATAATACATTTAGATCCATTGTATTACACGAGTAATAAAGTTATTTGAATTTAATTTCCTTATTCACGGCGTAATAATAATTATTTTTTATTGTTGCTAATCAATAAAAAAAAAAAAAAAAAAAACTATTGTTTATTTACCGAATAAACTTTACGGGGGTTTCTTGGAAATTAAATTATTCTTTTGAGTTTTTTTTTTTTTTTTATTATTATTATTTTGTATATACCTTTACAATATGTTTGGACATACTTTATTGCTTCTGGGCATTTTTATTAAAATGGCCTAGAATCAAATTTACCAACTATGTACATAAAATTGTTGTCCCATTTTATATATGTAATAAAAATAAAGTGATTTATATTCATTAAAGTTTATTTTGTAACAAAATATATAATTAAAAAGTAGAACTTAATTCGCGCCATGGGTGAGCCACTGTTGTAGGTGAGAAGCCGGGAAGATTACCTTCCTATACACCTTTACATCCGTCCTCGTATAGAACGTATAATTTACCTAGTTTACATACTGTACACAACGAAACTGCAAACGGAAACAGTTCCTGATCGAAATTTGGTTAAACTTTTTTTTGATAAATTTGTAGTTAAAATTGTATTACAAAATCGATACAAATTTTTATTTTTTGGCAACTATAATACTAAAAAACATGTTTTCGTATTTTTAGAGAATTTGACCATGAGTTTGAACCTATTACAAAGCCAACAAAAATAAACAAAATTATTTTGTATTCACGTATAAAACCATAATACTTTGAAAATTATACCAAATTTATAAAGCGATAACCACAGAAACCACCACAATTGCGTTAACATGCCAATATTTCGGGCGTTTTTTCCCATTATTAAGAAAACTCCAAGGAAAATAAAAATAAAAAATAACGCCCTTAACGCACCAACCCGATCAAATGTGATACCAGAAACCCAATGTTGATGGTTAGGAGCAACATCAATGGTCAAACAATTGATAACGGGCATAAAAGAACACATCATTGTAAAACCGATCGGCATTTAAATTAAGAATATAATGCAACGTAATTAATAATTCGCAATTGTTAAAATAAGATTTTGGTCGCTATACAAAATACAAAAAATATACACAATGCAGTATAGGTTCAAGTTCTACTAAAATTATTTTCCATCCGACTTTACACTTGACCTTAAAATATTGTTATTATTATTATTATTATTATTATTTAGAGAATGAAATATGTAGGATATTTTTTGTATAGTCGACTCTTTTATTAACTAATGTTTAATTTTGAGTACTTCGAGATCGACCGATACGGCTTGTCCCCATAAAGAAAAGAAAATAAGTCTACAAACTTCAAGTATACTACTTGATCTAGTTTCACATATTATCGTGTACATTCTATATAATATGTTGGTACCTACTTCAATACATTTTTAACCAGTATCCAACACTATTTTTATCTTATTTATATTCGTATAGATAATAATCTTTGCATGTAGGTGTACGATTTGTTTAGTATCTCTAAAATATGGCGTATAGTTTTCTTTTTTCGATTTTCGTAATCTTTAATGTACCTCTATATTGAATAATAAATATTCAAATATTACGTCATTCGTTACTATCCGTATGAAAACCAGAAATTTGATTCTAAAAACTCAATGTTTCGTGCGAGAATAAACTACTGGGGCTACAGATTTAATTAAAAAATCAAATTTTCATCGTAGAAAAATGAGGAATTATGCCGCGCAACGTGGTTTAAAGTTGTTCGATATTACGAATACAAAAAAAAAGTTATTGTCGTTTAAAAATTCGATAGATTCAAGTTGTTTAAAATCGAATGATTTATTTCATAATACTAATATCGAAAAACGAATACCAACGTTACACGGTTCAATTTATCCTTGTTTTAATGGCAAATATTTTGACTAAGTTCATAGCCGGAGAAGTTTTTGCCTCCCCGAAACGGTTTTTGTGAACATTTGTGTTTATTTTACGATAACACGGTATTTTAATATTTTTGATAACGACGCGGTGGAACTACTTGTGAATGATTTCGAAAGTGAATTTGAATATTTTTGAGTTAATTCGATTTTTATTTTTAGAAATATTTCGAGAAAATTGCCTTTACGCGACCCCTTAAATACGAGAAGTAGCACGTCCATTTAAGTTTCTGCCGTTATTATCCCGTTGAATGGACATTTTCGGAATAACTATCAGGTCATTTTTCAAATGACCTATTTCACGAACAGTTTGTTTATTATAATGTTTAGTTTCCTAACGTGAAATTATCGCGTTAAACTTTTAGACTGCAGCTCTTTTAACTGTCATACGTGTTTAGAAACAAAAGGGAGAAAACTATTAAACCGGCGATGTCGCTATTATAAAATACTATACAACATCATATTGGTGCTTTGAGCAGCTAAAGTATGTGTTTATATTTTATATAATGCGCAATGGCGTGGGCAGGGAAAGACAGGCATCCCCTTTTCATCGACTTAAAAATACAAAAATCACGAAAGTATCTATTTAGTAATCTCTTCTTGTATATTTCAATGAAACTAAATAAGAAAATAACTTCATTTATTGAATGCATATTGGGTTTTTTTTCTGTGATGCTTTTAAATTCTTATTTCCGGGTTAGATATGAATGAAAAAGAACATTCTACGATTAATCCACGAATTGCGATTATTATTTGATCGCTGAAATCGGAATAATTATTTCGTATGATGTAAATAAATAAATACACATCCGCTGCTCTCACGCATCGAAACGTCACTGACAAATACGATCCGATGTCCTGAAAAATCGAAATTCCTACAGCACTATAGGTGCGTAATATTATGTAGGTACTGATGGACGTTTATTTGATTTCAAATGTGCTTGTACACTTACGTTTGCAGTTACTTACAAAATAGCTCTTTGCACTAATATTTTGACGGTATCGTTCGGCGGTGGTACGATGCGAACTGCACCGTATAATATACAAGTACAACACAACATAATATTATAAAGTGTTTATTTACAATGCACCCGTCATACATAATAATATACGTTCGATAGTTATTCATCAAGACATTTATTGGCTGTCGGTATATATTACAGTTGGGAAACTATAAAACGAATATTGTGCTTGCGCTTGTATTGAATATTACCGCGAGCTCGCCTCGAAATTCGAACGGAATATTAATAACATCGCATAACAACATAATATCATAAGTTATAACTGAAGTGATATACATTAATAGTGATGTATTTACTCTGTATTATCGGAATAACAATATTACAACGTATTCAGTTTATACCGTTTTGAATTCGAATATTACAGCGCAATCTTTTTGCACACACGCGATTTATTAACGTGCAGTTAATCATGCCGTTCTAAATGCATAAAACGATTGTTTTTAAACGGAATGTCCGTCATTAAAAACTTTAAGGGGATTGTTGACGGTTTTCCTCCAAACGTTGTCTGTGTTCGCAAAATAATATAAATAAAAACGGTTACGGCCGTTTTTACGGAACGTGCGCTGATAATGAAATATTATAATAGAGTGATAGTATAGAAGCCATGGCCGCAGACAGTGCCACAGTTTTGCGGCATAAAATGTTAATTTTTATGAACGACGATGCGTAACATAATGTATTTGAGTACATAACCACCCCCTCCCATATATTTTTTTGTTTTTCGTTTTTCGGTTTTGTTAAGAATTATACATCGGTTCCGTTTCGGTTTTTTAAAAAAAAAAAAAAAAAATGTATACCGGTTCTCTTTCACAAAAAATTATCTTTCAAAATATAGGTACGGATAGGGTTGAACTTCTTATATTTTATAAAGCAAATTCTAAAAACTAATGGCTTACATCATTGGTTAAATTTAATCGATACTTACATAATACATATACTAGATTGGATAACAAGAAATGCCTCATAAGTATTCATTAGGTTTGTACACATTTATTCAAATTTGTAATTCCACCGTGTTCGACGGATTTTTCTACCGCTGTTTACATTAAAATTTGTTTCGATTTTTTTTTCAATCAGTTTGTCTTTGAGGAGGCCATCGATTTAGAGAGAGAAAAAAATTAATAACGTTTTATGTATTCACTTAAGAAAATACGATAGACGATACTGAAATAAAAAGATAGTTCCACACGGTGATTGTTACGCTATCACTTTTAAGATAGTAACAATCAAATGCCGTGCATCCACGATAGTGTGATAGTTTCTTTCAGGATAGTAACCATCACGGTTGCGAATTTCGCACTAAGTTATATTATCGAGGGGACCAAGATGAACTTATATTAACATATATATTAATTAATTATTAATTAAACTTATATTAATATTGACCGCCGCGTATAACTATAATATGAAACAATAATTGCACCGGTAATCGACTGGACATTGCATACATTTTAATATACCTGATTTTTCGTACCATCGATAATTTGTAGTATATTTAAATACTTGTATTCTCAAGATGACAAACCAATTTTTTCTTTTAAATATTTTTCGTACATTATTTTCTTTAATTTGCAGGCAGAAAAGATGACTGGTAGAAATGAATCGTTCACAGCTGATTATTGTACCGGTGAAACTGTTACGCTGTACAGTCAACAACATCACACAAGAATACATCTCCAAACAAACGGCCCTGCGAAAAATCACATTCCCTTGAATCCAAGTAAAATTTTATATATTTACCTACTATTCTTTTTTAGTATTATTATATTTCATCGTGCCAATCGAAATGGTATTTTTTGTTCTCTTTATATGAAAAGATAGTTATGAAAAATATTATATTTACCGTTTTTGATATTATTATACTCCTTTATTTAACGAAATTTCAATAATAGTTTATTACAATATTAATATAAATATATATCGTAGCGGAACATCGAGAACTCGAATCGATCGGGTCAAAAAAAATAATAAAATAAAAATTCGAGATGTAGGACAAACATTCTATCTTATTAAACAACACCGACTGTATTTTTGATTTTGATTGTTTACAATGTAAGAAATATCCGGTTTACTCATACGCAATATTTGCATTATCCTAAATATACTCAGTTATATATAATATACTATGTAAATTTCAAAAAACGTTTTCCGTAGTATTCTATTTACTCAAGACTACACTATTTTATAGTGAAATCGGTTAGTCTTGTTTGGTTTTTACTTTTGGATGAGGACCTGTATCTGTACAATAATTGTCGGTGTTTGTACCGAACAATTGAGTTATAAGCCATAAGTCGACACAAATAACTGCGACTTATCGAGAAATTCGAGTTGGCAAAATTCGTGTTATCGAGTTAATGTATCCCATAAATCCTGCATTGAAATTGCAGTGGCCAAGAAATTTCTCCGTGTATGTATATTCGGTTTATCGGAATTCCGCTGTATTTTAACAATCAGTGCCGAAATCTTTTGTTTTGTCGGTTATTTCGGGTTTGTTGGTTCGTTTTTTTTTTTTTTTTTGTGCGTATTTTATCGTTCTAAAAAATACGGTATGTTTATTATGGGAATTATTAATGTCACCGCCTCTTTACCGTCGAAATTATTTTCTTGGTAAATTTTTGTCAGTGCCGTCTTCAATAACGCATCGTTTTAAGATTCATTAATGAAGCGAATTAAAAAATAAAATTCTCGGCAACGAACTGCACAACATACACGTATACGTATAAACGCACGCTTACCTACCCGTCGGGCTCAGCAGTACGTACCCTATGTATAGAAATAATATAATCGACCGTGTTATTTACGAATGTAATTCGTAAACTGTCAAACGCAGCCCATGATTTAGATATCCGGCTTATTTTTCATACCGAGATTTATTAACCGTCATTGCAATTTAGATAAACATCGGGTATACCTATGTAATATCGGTAACACACTTCTAACGCGCGGGCATATTGCAAACGAGAGAACGGTTTTAATGAAAAATGGGTGTTTGAAACTGCAGTAATGACCGTGTTATTGTTACACGACCGAACACTACTGCAGATTAAAAGTAATTTTATTTCAGATACGTAAATATATATGCACACACGCAATACATATATATTATATAGTACGTATGCGCCGCGGTATAAAATTGTTACGTTTTACACAGCACGCGTTTGCGTTATTATTGTGTAAACTGCGAGAAACGACGTCGCGATTCACAAAAAACTGTGTACAGTAAAACTTTTAAAATATACCATGTAATACCGCGAAAATGTGTCATGCTTTTGGAGAAGAAAAAAAAAGGGAAAAAATCAAATCGGATATTTGTGAAGTCGCCGTTGAACTGCGCGGCGTATTTTATCGGCGATTGTCGTTGGCCACCAAAAGACCTTTTTAAATAAATAATATTACAAAGGCGCGCGGCGTAGTTTGTCCGAAAAGTTCAAGAACGAACCCTGCAACGAAAACTTTGACCGTTACGCCGTTTTCGAAATTACAATTTTGACCAGACGACGAAAACTTTATGCGTTCAAATGTTACGAGTTCCCGCAGTGACCTGCAGCGGCGCATTACCATATACTTAAAATCAACACTAAACCGGACTATCCGCGTACCAGTGTTACGACAATTAAGAATTTATTGAAATTATTCATACTCATTATCAATGTTATTGAGTAATTTAAATGTTGAAAAACCATTATTTCGGTCCTTATAGAATATTATTAGGATAAACTCGGATTTTTTTTTGAATTTTGATTCTTTTCATCCGGCGAGAAAAATGAAAAAAAAAAATAATAATAATAATAATTTAAAGAAATTTTTCAAAAATACAATCAAATTTCTTAACGGTTTCCAACGGAATAATATATTGCAATTCTATTTCCGAAACGATACGGTAAATAACCTACGGAACCCCGTAATTCGTTTTCAAAATCGAAATCCGTCAAACACAATGCTTCCTACACGCAGTTGTTTTAGGTTTAAATCAACTCCGCCGTCACCAATCCCCTTAATGTAAAAAAAAGGTTGTTCTCTTTTTTGCAATGGTAATTTAATATTTCGTTTGTGATATCGAAAGGTACATATAATATTATAATACCTTTACATTTCGTATTCGGAAGAGTAATTAATACCCGGGTCGTTGATTTTTTTAAATTTTTTATAAGAAAGTAATTAATTCGTGTACGGTAAATCGAATATTGTTAATTTACTAAATTAAAATTCATCGGTTTTTTCACCCGATGCGAAGAACCTTTTTTTTTTTTTTGTTTTGTTTTGTTTTATTATAGCGATTCTTTTTTTAGTTTATCTAACGGCAATAATTGTTTTATTTTTTTTTTTCAACCAGTAAATCACTTAAATTATTATTAATACGTACACACGGTGTACCAAAATTTTTACTCTTTAGTTTTTATAATTAATATTAATTTGAAAAAAAAAAAAAACCTATTAACATTAGCGGTGCCGAACATTTACAATATATTATCGCAATGTTAAATTACAATAATATTCGCGTATTACGTTCGGGTTTCTATTAAACGATTAGAAACGTAAAGTGCGCGTGAAATATTGTAATATTTTGTCATATACCACGAACGTTTAATTATAATGTTTCAGAAGGCGAACCAATTAAATTGCCAGATAACTTGGAGAGTTTGCCACGTGCCGAGCATTTTCCCATTCAAAGACATCGCTGGAACACTAACGAGGTAAACTACAATATTATACGTAATAAAGTTTTTAATAAAATTACTGCGGGGCACTGGGGTATTCAGATTAGTCTTTTGCGTACGCTTATTATATACGTATAGCCGGTACATAATATATACGCGTTTCGCTTTGTAAAGGAAAAACCTCAACCGCAAAAATAATCCAATATTTTACGTTCCGGATCAAACAAAAAGATGCGGATATACTTACTTCGCACAACGGGCGGGCCACTTATATCCGTAAGCAGCGATTAATATTTGCGAACTAAAAACGATTCTGAGCGGAGGTCGGTAATACGTGTTTTAAAAGGTTCGGGTTATGAATATAAATAATACATTTCGACAATTTTCCCGGTTTTTCACCTGGAATTATTATTAAAACCCCCGGGAAAATCAAAAAGTTACCTACTGAATGTTCCACCCCAGTTAGATTTCTTCTCAGAACAATATCTACACTGGAATGTCGGAGCGAAATTCCTGGTTGAAAAGTTGTTCACAGATAAGAAGACACAAAATTATTGTAAAAACAATACATATTTCTCCGCTCCGCTCAGAATCTAAAACAGTACGGTGTACGAACGCCGGCGTCGCGCGATGTTGCGATAAATGCGATAGATCTTAAACTCGGTAAAGAACACAACGTTTTCCCCTGCCCTTGTTTTCACAGAGAGTACCTAGGTACCGTGGAATACCTAAATGTCGTTTCGAATGCTTTTTCCGTTGCACAATGCCGGATCGATCGAATCACATTTTATCAAATTAATAAACATGATATAACATACGTGTAATTGAAATATCGTATTTATTTACGAGCACGCGTCTAACAGTCGCGTTGTTGTATAACAAGAACGCCGTCGTTGAACATCAACTAGGTACCTATATTATTATAATATACAATAAGAATCAAAAGTCGCATTTCAAATAAATAATAATAAAAAAAAAGAATTTTTATTTATATTAACGGGGACGAACGAGGTGAAACGTGTACAATAATATATATAATTTTTTTTTTTTTTTTGTATATACGTTTATATTGAAGCCTCACAATAATAATGTAATATTGTATACATGTGACGGTCTGTTAAAGGCCAAAGGCTTCATCAGCGCAGGCTTCCCCTTTGAAATTATTATACGAAAATAAACGAGTAAACTTATTTTTATATTCATTTTTATAAATATATATATTTTTTTTTTTATCAATTTATATTAACTAACTGCAGTATACACCGGCCTATGGTAAATTATTTTAACAAGGCGATATTGTCAGGTATACTGGCACGTAATTAAAACTATACACACACGAATACAATATCATTTTCAGGCATGGTTTCAAAAAAAAAAAAAAAAGCCTACAGTACAGTATATAACAATAAAAGTGCTGTTACTGGAGTCGGGTGTGCCACTGTTGTAGGTGGAAAGTTAGGAAAGGAGAAAACATACAATTATTTAATTAAAATCTGTAAGCAACGAGAAACCATTCCTAACGAAAAACGATTTGAAGCGAAATTCGGTTGAACACGTTTTAAAAGGCCGTTGTGTTTACGATTTTCGTCAAAATTTGATACTAAAACTCTTATATGCAAAAAAAAAAAAAAAAAATTATACTACATCAAACTCATTTTTTTTTACCCCTGAGTAAAACACGTATAATAAACTTTCGTGTTAAATTGTCAAGCATTTCTGTTCGGTTAAGCAATTAAATTTACATATCTATTAAATAAAAACGAAAAAAAAATAAAATAGAAATTAAAAATATAAAATACCTATAAATAGCTTAAATGTTATCGAGTATAGAAAAATCAAGTTTTTAGTTTTTGGTCAAAATTGTAAATTTCTACGAATATTTTCAATTAGATTAGAACAAAGAAAAAAAAAAAAAAATGAAAATATAAAAATACTACAGTTTTGTAGCAAAATTTTTTTCGTTTTTTCTAGGTTTATTTTCAGTTTTGTTCAATTATTTGAAAAAACCACAGGGAAAATCATTAAACGGCTTTCTTACTCAACAACTAGATTAAAAATGATACAAACAAGATCTCTTGTTGTTTTTTCTCTTTGAGAAATATTTGCAAAATCAAAAAATGACATTCTCAATGCGCCAAATAAATAAAATTTTCTTTCAGAAGGGAAACTACACTTATTAATATATCGGATCATGATTTCTATTTAAAAAGTTGTTCACAGTTAGACAAAAAATAAAAAATAAAAATCCACATCATAGTAAAACTAATACGCTACTAACTAAACGCGAACTAATGTCATTAATAAAATCGGTTGTTCTCAAGAGAATTATCTTAATCGCACTGAAAATTGTACGGGGCCTCGGGTTTTTTATGGCTATACATTTAATCTGTTATCTTTGTCCTTTTTTCAGTTACTTTATTTATTGTTTTTTTATAACAATACTTGTGATCTTTGAAAAAATTAACTTTATACGATTTGTTGTTTTTGTTTTGTTTATTTTTAATAAATTTTTTTAGGTTCACTAAAAAAATGGCTCTAAAAAATAATAAAAATAATAATGATGATGATGAATATTTTCTTATCGAATTCGTCGATATTCGATGCCTAATAATAACGAATAAACGGTTTGGAATATTAATGTTACTGATTACCTATACAATTAATATACTCCACCTTCCTTTTTGAACACAGATCAAAAATAAACGATATTATTCTTCACAGTATGACATAACGCTAATATCGGATTTACCGTATGTGAGTTTAAAGTTTAGATCAGAGCTATAGGAAAGCATTTATACATTAATCATCTTAAAATGGCCGTGCAATTTATCACCATTCCCCTACTCTTCCGGTCTAAATGATTTTTAAATTAAATTTTTTAACAGTTTAAAGTTTAGACCCAAATAGTAAATACACTAATAATAATTAAGTACCCATACAATTAATTGATTTCAGTGATCATTTTAGGGCAAATCGAATTGTTCATTACTTACAAAAGTTGAAAAGTATACAAATCTGGTATAATTTTTTTAGCTTAGGTACGAACGCGCATTCATACAATACGACACAATTTCCATATTCAATATCTCCCTCCTCGGCAAAATCCCAAATACGCCACTGAAATAATATATTGCCTATATAGATTATAGACTAGATAATATAAATTCTAGAATTTTCTTCTATTTTTTTTTTTATTATTTTTTTTGTACGCCATTTGAAACGTGTTTCGATTGATTTTTTTCGCGATCTATAAATCGTAGATAGGTACGTACCCACTATATAGATAGTAAAGACCAGTTTGTTGCGTATGTGAAATGTCAATTTAGACGTCATTGGTTTATATATACTGACTGTCCGCTATAGGGGTTTTTTCACGAAGAAGGATGGTCTTTTCTCCCTATATTTCTACATATATATATAGCTTCGTCCCCGTGATGCTGTTTCGCCGGTTGAATATAAAACGGCAAATCTATCGGATTTCATACTCTATTAGACTTCCACCGTCTACCCCGTTCCCCACCCCCCTCGCCAATGCCTACCAGTCGTGCTCGGCGGCTGACGTGCATTCATCCAATTCAATTCCGTCGCTAAACTGGGGAACTATTCTATTTATTTTTATTTTTTATTTTTTCTAATGATTCCTCGCTCGCCTATCCGCGAGGGGTTTATAATGTATACAATACGACGACGACAACGCGCGACGTATAGCTTTTGAAATTATATAGGTAGTAGTTGTCGCGTTTAGTGTGCAATGTGCATTGTGCATATTAGGTTTTTGTGAGGAACATTACGGTATTGTGTCAAAAATTCAAATTTTTTAGGAGACGACAAAAACGTTTTATTTCCTTAAAAGAAAAAACTGTGTTTCTTACATTTTTCTTTTAGTTGAATTAAATATTTAGATTTATCCGTTTATGTAAAATGTTTGTTTTTACATAAGTTTTTTGAAAAATTATCATATTGATGTACTGCACGGAAAAATATATTCAAGCTTTTGGGAAATGTGGTACAAATATCTAGATATAGATAAGACATAACCGTTAGTATAATTATCTAGATGGCGAAAAGACCTATAAAACGAAGAATAATCTTCTATATATCTATATATCTAGATTAGAAAATGATAATTTGATTATACATTTGTAACACAAACTGCTAAAAGTAGTAAAAGTCCAACGAATTTGCCACACAATTATATTTCGAAATTGTGTGATTGATGTAACTCAATAATTAATTTTTTACACCATAATAATATAAATTAAACATATTACCTATTATTTCTGATAAATGTATAAAATACGATTTAAAAAGATTCGTTTAGAATCTAGATGATTCAATTGTATAATATCTTAAATAACGGCTCAGATAATTTGTTTCGTCAATCGTCAAAATACGATAAAAGATGGACAACATTGCTGTCTAGATAAAACGGGTATTATGCGGGATTTATACAATATTTTATACTAGTCTAACGAATAATCACGTTTAACACAATTAAAAATCTAACGTTTATCCGAAAGCGCTACGTGGCGCAGAATTGCATATAGAACCAATGTATACACCTACTGCAATAAATAAATACAATTAAAAATTAAAGTCTTACTAATCTCGTTTCTCACGAAAACCTTTCAGTCGATTTCATGATTATTGTTAGAGCTCGGATGTTGTGGCCTTTTTTCTCTACCGATTGATTTATTAAGTATCAAGGATGTATCCTTTTTGGATTTTTTCGTCATTTTAATAATCGATTCTTTTGGGAGTAGTATAATTTGTAGCTTTTGTATTATCATTATAATATTCGGTCATTAATTGTGTTACAATGCACATTATTTTATGTATTATAAGCGACGGGACAGTTAAACTCTAGTGTGTGAATTGTTCTGCTGTCTACGGGATTTTTTATGTTTTATTTAAGGAAGTCCTAAATGGTCATACAAATAACGGTCGTATTAAATTTAATACGAGTATACAACTTGTTATCAGTTTAAATCGAGATAAAAATGATTTAAAACATTTGTGTATAAATTCCGAATCGCTGTTATTTTGAACAATACAAACTTAACGTGCACATTATAAAACTTGATACACACACGTTTTTAATACAGTGGACGCGTATTGATTTTCAGAGGAGACACTGTTTTAGGCTCTAGTATACGGGCAGTATAATTTGTTTTGAACGAACGAGTTATTGTTTGTTTCATGCATTAGCGCTTGGGCGTTGAACCGAGGAGAACCCGATTTTACTTTATATAATTAAAATATCAACTGGCCAATTATGATCAATAGTTTCTTTATGAGACAGCAGCTACTATAAGTGAACGTCGATTTATTATTTCCAGCTATTGTTTATAATATTTCCGATTTTCCAATCATCGTAACGATTTCTATGCTCGCTCTACAATATAGTTAATTTCAATTGGTAAATTATTCGTCTATTATGGTCGCGGTCTCCCAATGTTGAACGCGCATTGCAATTACACACGCTGTTAAAAGGCCAAACAGTAAATACAACTGACGTTGAATTTGATTTCTCGGACTTTCTGACGGGCGATGGTAGTAAAAATGCGTTCGCGTAAAACGAATGAAAACCCTTTGAAATCAGTTTTAGAAATAAAACACCAGGTTAATATTATAGTTCGCAACAATTCGAAGACAATATCATCCCGCTAATTTGTTGAAATATTAATCAATTATATATGTATATAAAAAATAATAGAAATACAAGATTTTTTTTGTACTCTCCGCAATGACGCGAGTTGAATGAGAGTACCTATTTAGAGAAACTGTAAAACGCCGGCGAGCATGTCATTCAAAATATTATCGACATCTACACACGTTTTATCATTAAAAACGATTCGCAAGGATTTTCCGTTTGTCTCAACACATTTTTGCCACATTACTCGATATAGAACAACACAGGCGACAAAAACGATTGCGACGACCTTTTAACTATTATCAATACATGTATGTATATTATCATGTTCTGTTTAATTTAATTAGTATTATGTGGTACGTATTACGAATATTATTAGATTACATTTCAATACAATTTGATAAACTCGTTATTTTTTTGTTGCGATTGTGGCATAATCCTGCACGTCTCCCCGCTCCATAGAATAGCACGGTCCAATGTCAAAAGTCAAAACCATTGTAAAACGGGCGACGGCTGAGCATTATCCTTTTGCTTGACCGGACGGATAATATCGAAGTACGAAATATTTTTTTTAATATTTAATACATTGTCTTTTTATTCGCTTTTAAAATTAACAATCAAACAAATGAGCACGAGAAGAGTTTTCTAGTATAGCGTATTCACCAATAGACAATTTTGTCTAAATGGTACGTTAAAAGCGGTCATTTTTTGATTTTCCAAGGGGTTTTTATATGAATGGAAAAAAAAACGTAGGAATTACGGGAAACGTACATTTAATTAAGAAACTTCGCTTCAAACCGTTTTTCGGTAGCAATGGTTTATCCTTGTATACAAATATAAATCTATATCTTACTTTCCCAGCCTCTCACCTACAACAGTGGCCAACCCATTGTACTGAGTATGTCCGTATTCGGATAAAAATAATCGTAGGGACCTGAAATTTTCACAGAATACTAATGATAGTTTTTTTTTATAAACCGTAGTCATATTTCCGAAATTTGCAATTGATTTACATTTGAAGTTTTTGAGGTATGTATGTGATCGTTTTGACCGAGGGAATGTGAAAATTAAACAGGTTTTTTTTTTTTAAGTTCAAATCGTAAAAATCACATTTTTCAACCTTTTTAACCGATATTCGTTCAGAATCGTATTTTTTTCTTTATATTATACGACGGCATACATTTACAATAATCGTCTCGAAATCGAATGTTATTTTATTTTTTTATTTTTTATTCTCTCGATGATGACGAAATTAAAATGTTTCATTATTCGGTATAATAATAATATATCTAAGCCGTGTATGGCTGCATAAAATAAAAGTACCTACCTATACTAACTCGTACGCGTATATATAATAATATATTGTCGGGACAAAATAATATTTCCATCGTTCTGAATGCCAACAGCATTTTACGGCTGAATCGATATTATATATATATGAAAAAAAAACCAAAAAAAAAAAACTTAATATTTAAAATGAAATCAAAATCGCTAGAGGGATTGAAAGCCATGATGTAGCACCTATACATATATTATATACACAGTGAAATAAATTGTTTTTTTCCACAGTTGGAACCGGCCCGGAAACAACATCCCTCAAAAACAATTGTAATAAAATAGTTTTATTTGCATTCCTCTCTTTTATCGTCGTCGTCCGTACCTCAATGTGCAGTATACATTTATTTTGTACGTGCATATAAATATATATATATGCACGGATAATCAATTTTTTCTTGTTCCAACGAACCACGTTTTACAATATGACGTCATCAGTTATTTTTTCACGGTTGAATTCGTACTGAGCCTATTATTTGCCTTCTCGGCAATTGATAATATACATGTACGCCTAGACTCATCAATCCTGCAGCGCAGTTATTACGAAAACACATTATTTCATAAAAAAAAAAAAATAATAATAATAACTAAATCATATCGTCGGGTATAATAATAATAATAATATGACGTAGGCATTCGATTATTATGGTTTTAAAGATGTTCGTTAATACAAAACAGCACCAGGGAGATTTGGAAACGGGTGGGAGCATGGGGGGGGGGTTCAAGAGCTTAATGCGGTTTTATTCGAGACACGGTCGTATTTTAGGTGATGGGAGTTTGACGGATTCAACCCTCCCAAAAAAAATGTAGAAGTGTTTTCATGAATATGCATTAATGTACCTAATATACATTGAACAACAATGTATATTATGAGAAACTTAATAACAATAAGAATATAATATATCGCAATGTAATGTCTCTAAACTATAATTACCCACTCCTATATTTTGTGTCATCGTAGTTTGAGAATTTTGAGCAACATCAGTAATTATATCATTTTTATTAATTTCTTTTTAGATTCCGAATGGAGCTAATAAGCTTATATAGTTTTACAATGATGTTTATTTTTATTTTATTGTTCCCCCCCCCGTGAACAACTTTTCTACCAACTATTTCGGTCCGATTTACAATGATAGCATTTTGTCTAAAAGAGAATCTGACTGGTACTTTAAAAGAGGTAAATTTTTGCTTTTCCCAGGGGTTTTCCAAATAAATGGGAAAACCCAGGAAAAAATATGGAAAACTGAGAGAACGGAAAAATAGGTACATTATTAAACAAATATTATTCAAATGTTTAATGTATATGCATTTATTTTACCATAATATGACATATATCTGTATCCTGCCTATCCAACTTCCCACCTACGGCAGGGACCCACCCACGTGCGAGGTATGTCCATCTTTTCAAATTTATATTAGCCACGGCTAATTTATTGAGGCCATTTCCGGTTGGCTATGCTACCGATACACAACTGCGAGCTCTATAAAATAATATTGCCGCGGCGTTAAATTTGTTTTCACATACATTACAGATTTTCGGTATATTTGCCGAGTTGCATGACTGGTTTGTTAATCTATTATTGACAGACTAAAATTATGCAGTTATTGAACAGATTACGTTTCATGGACGTAATTCATTGTTTTAATACGGGAATTTTCCATTCAATCGTGTGTGTGTGTGTGTATATATATTAACAGTTTTATCCGTGTCAAATATTGGGCCCGAATACGCTTTAATAGTTTAATAATATGTGTTAATATAAAAAAAAAAAAAAAAAAATCGAAACCTCAATTCCAAGTAGTTGGAATTATTTAGTTTGGAGTTTGAACACACAGCGGTAGAGTTTTATTTAAATTTTAGAATCCAAAACCGTCGTATTAGTCTTGAAGGGGATTCGATGGATCGTGTCTTGGTCTCGGCGATTAATCGACATTGGGGAAAAAAAAAAAAAAAATCGTCGTACCTCCGCCGGATTCGTCCGCAGACGAAGGCGAGCGCGATGCCACACCGACAGTTATTATTTATTGATATTTTACATTTATAGTTTCGATGTCATCGCGCGCGACGGGTCACAGCCGTCTCTCTCCGTAAGGAAAATAGAAAATATTCGATTGCGCCTTTGCGCCGCGATAACGCAATTATCGCCGAACGGCGCGGGGCCGATTTCTCCGCGGGGGGGCGGCTGCTCGCCGAACCGTGATCGGTTTAATGAAATAAAAAAAAATTATCTCGTTTCGGTTGTAAATTGTAGAACACTCGCCGGAGAACAATTGTGCGGACGGCACGCGTAAACGCGTCGCGGATTTGTATCTCGCACGGGACGCGGAACGACGCGACACTTAGAGGTGCCCGTCGGGGCGGCGTACGTACGGAGAACGCTATTACCGTTGATAGAAGACAGAAGTCTCAACAGGTCGTTCGACGGTATCACTTCGACGTTTATACGATAGCGCCGTTCGGTTTGTCGCGTGCGCTCGTGTGTTCGGTACGCGGGGGGGGGGGATCGTAAAACGCCACCGGACAATTAAAACTGAACCCCCGCGACTATTTCTATTACGAGACAGAGCCGACGGCGCGCAGGCGTTCGCTCGACACCGCGCGGGCTGTTCGAAGATCGTTCGTTCGAGATCGGGAATAACACAGGGCCGCGCACACCCCCGGCTCTCGCCCACCCGCCGCTGGGTTCCGACGGATTTGACGAATGGAATTATTGATGTCGCGCGCCGTTGTCCGTCGTGCGATTAATTACTCGGGCCCCCGCGCCGGGCGAGGACTCGTGCACCGTGCCGAACGCGGCAGGTCTCAAAAACGGTCACCCGCCGGCGGCGTACGTGTGGGTGTTTACACGTGTGGTCCGGGGCCGCCGTTCACGCCTCCTGGTAACGAACGCGTCGCGTCGAGTGACACCGTACGCTCGGGCATATTACAATAGCGGAATCGAAAGACGTAGACACACACGCGTTTTTAACAATGCGAAATTGAACGACGTGACGAACCACCGGACAGTTTACGTTGCCGGTTACGTGAAATGAATTATCGCGTATGGCCCGTCCGCCTTACGGGACGCGTGCGACTGTAATAATACCGCGGGGCGCAGCAGGTAGTACGCGAGGGGTTCGGAATTGCCGTTGGACAACGGCTCGTCTACGGCGCCGCGAACGCTGTACCGGGCGTGAAGAAGAGTCCGGGAAGTTAGGGGAAAGTGCGTAGAAAGGAACGAAAAAACCAGCGATTGGAAACGACCCGCGCGGCGTTTTTTTAAACAGTTCCCGTAATCCGGCAACTCTGGCGACCACCCCCCCCCTCCTCCCCCCACCGTCTGACTGGCGTTAAAGTCAATCAATCGCAGCGTCCCGGGGCTGCGACTCGCGTGATTAATTATTAACACAATATGCCATCGATTGTTTTACGTTTTCGTATTTTTCTTCCGTCTACGAGAATCGGTAAAATATTTGAAACTGATAATATTGTAATTTACCGTACTCGATTGTTTATCGCGGATCGATTCGGGAACGCACTCTCTACAGCCCGATAACTCTGCAGTGGTTTTCTCGGTGCATTTTTTTTTTTTTTTTCAATAATTCTACAAAACCGGTTCGCCCGCAGTTATCGGCCCCGTAAAGTTTCGACCCGGCATTGCTATATTATGTACGCTTGATAATTTTTAGCGGGTAATAATAGCAATGATATTACACAGTTGACAGCCGTACGGGTAAATGTGTACAATGTGGTATATAATTATGCGTAGTGTTTTCGAATAAGTACACGCGATAAATGTGTAACTTTACACGTGTAGCCTTGTTATACACTTTCGGGCGTTTAGACGTATCACAACCCCGAACAAACAAACATAAATAAATAAATCATTTTTTTTCCTTTTCGTCCACACCGAATTATTTATATACTGTTCCACTCACTATAAAACTTCCTTAATATTCTCTCGTTTACCGAATGTATGATATTTCGCCGAATACTACAATTTGCAGCTGAAGCACGAAAAATATATATTATATACATAGGTGTAAAAGTTTTTTTTTTTTTTATACATACAAGAAATTTATCGATGAAACGTGAAGAAAACATATGATGATCACTATATTGACGTTGCGAAGTCGGCTTGAAATAATGTGACAATTATTACTCTTATTTAAGGGTTTGAAACCATTACATATTTTCGATTTTCAAACGGTAACCTATATTAAAAATCCCACGAATAGACGGGGTGTATTAGTTTAAAACTGTTTTGGTGTTGAATTTTTTTTTAATTTCCGTCAACCAGTTAACAAGATTCGTTCGAGCGGCGCACAGTGGTCGGAAACTGAATTCTATCTGGACAAAATAGACAAACGATTAGGTTAAAAATACAATATTTAGTACGCGATATGAAATTATATTCTATTACGGACAACGTCATCAAAACGCGATAACAGTATAACTACATTACAAATAAAATGTATAAAATATTCGGTTGTTATTTATTGTCGGCCGTTCTCGCGGTATTGTTCACAATTTCTAAAATTGAATATTGGAAAATTCAAAATTATATTCTAAAATGGACAAAAATTCAAATAGTAAGTTTTATTTTTAATTTTTTTACTTATGGATATTACTAGATATAATATACAGCATCATTATTATAAGCTGCTATTTTTGTGCTTTCTTAAAACTTCAATATACAAGAAGAGATCAAAAATAATCATATTGGGAATATAGAATAGATATTATTCTACAACTACTTAGATTCGCAATGCTATAGTTTTTGGCTGAATCTGTAACGAGCAGATTGGATTTTCTGTAGGTAAAATATAACACAGGCGNTCTACAACTACTTAGATTCGCAATGCTATAGTTTTTGGCTGAATCTATAACGAGCAGATTGGATTTTCTGTAGGTAAAATATAACACAGGCGGCATACAAATTATTTTATTGACTTTCACAATTATATTTTTATCAGAATATTATATTTGTATGGCTTATATTCAATTTTCATAATCACGCCTTTTCACCACCACTCTGAAAATTTAAATATTTCCGAATTTGGTAAAATATTGTTAACGAGCACGTGTCGTAAACGTCCACGGGGTATAAAGGCTAGAAAAATCAATGTAACAGGCGTATCGCCACGCCCAACGAACGTAATCAAAAACCGTTTTGAATATCCATTTCCATTTTGAATTAAATTGCGTTATTTATATTATCCCGAGTGCGGGTATATTGTACTAATTACCCGCCGTACACCGCGTAATAAACACAATTTTTTTATGTTTATATATATATGTATACAATTTTCGTTAATTATACGGTGCTTGGGGGATTTTCGAAAACATTCTTTTAAATAAAATATTTAAATCAGAGTAATTTTTTTTTCGCGCGTCGTACGCTCGCTATACAATATTGTGTAGAACAATGAATAAAAAAAAAATAATAATAATAACCTCGTAACGGGGTAGTTAATTCGAGTTTACTTAATAAACACGAAAAAAAAAACAAATGAATTAGCCGGTATTCGTTAGTTAGAATATTTATAATATAACGACCCGTTTTGATTAACCTTTTATCACATTTTCGTTCTTGTATACATACAAATTTAAGGTAACGTCCTTGCGTTTTAATAACGACGAGTTCGCGATTTGTATCGGGTATGCAAAACGCCGTCGACAATATTACATTTATTTTAATTTGTATTTTTTTTGTTTTTCGACCGACTGTTTAACGTCCGTCCGACGTCATACGGTTACGTTAGTATCGTTAGCGTTTTCAAACATTTGCTGAAGCTTCTTTTTTTTTTCATTAGGCGTCCTAGAGACCTGCAATTCCGTGACATATCTAAATGTTAAAATTAAATTACAATATGTCAATTTCAGACGAATATTTGAAGCCCTACCTAACGTAGGAGAGAGTCGAGTTGTATTTACAGCCGTTAAAGCCGGTGTAGTTGCAAATAATTTCGCGACTATGTAACTTGTACGGAATATGATGCTAAAATTGAGTGACATCAGTTTTTTTTTTTTTTTTTTTCTAAACGATATTTAGGGTTTATTACGTACTTAAATATCATAAATATTGTCGCAGATAAAGTTTACCAGGAATTTGCATACGAAATAATATAATATGAAAGTACAATATTGTAATTATCCCGCCCGTTGGCGTTGCAAAAATTATAGGCGGAGCTACGGGTTATAACGGATATGCTTTTTGGCACACCCTAAACATCTACTGTCCAAATTCTGTTCGAATTGAGGAACATTAATTTTTCATTTAATACATGCACCTATTTAAATTTATGCCAAATTATGTAAAAACAAAAAAATTACAACAATAAAAACAACTATCGCGTGCATTGACGGCAGTCGGTAAAAATAATGAACTAATTTTATAGGCGTCTGCAGCATGCAACGTGCATCATTGTCCTGTCGTAGCTATCGAATTATTTAGAAAAACGTAATAGATTAGCCAAGGGACCGTTTTAGACACTTTTAAACACATATTATGTACCCTCGAATTAAAATTGGATCACAAAAACGGCGTTGTTTTCAGTTAGTGCGGTTAAAAGAATTCAAACGGCCGGAGTTTAGTAAAGTATATGATGCCGCATTTTGCTTTTCCTGTTGTGCAAGTATATTCCGAATATGAACTTTACACAGAGAACACTCAAATAATAAATTTACAAAAATAGGTGTGAAACGCTGGAATAACGCAACCGAAACAAACAGGTAGACCACCAACATGAAATCTTTAAAATAAATCTTATATTGTAAAATCTGACTATGGTTAATACAATAGACATACATAGAGTATAAGCACCGGTCATATTATTTTCAATTCTGACTCGTTTCGGTTTACTTGGCCAATTTTATTTTTTCGTATAACTTTTGTGTGAAAATAAAGCAGTTATGATAATATGAACTATAAAACGTTACACCTACGTTTTATAGTTAATAGTTTACCGCATTAGATTAATTATCTTGTCTTTGAAAAACGAGGGGGGGGGGAGAAAGTGAAATGTAATTATTTATTATATGTAAAAATTGTTTGTCCCTTCTTGGGACTTGCCAAGAACCACCCCCCGGTTCAAATCAACTGAAAAGCGATTTCAAATCGAAAATAAATAAATGGAAACTAATCGAAAGTTAATACATTATTTTCAATCGATTTTCGATTAATTCGAGAACAGACCTCCTGCTTATTTGTTATATTCGTTTAGCGGATATTGTTTTTATAATATTATATTAGGCGAGCATTCAATATTGTATACACGGTGTACCTATATAATAATTAACGAATAATCGAAAAGTCCCTCGGGAAAATCTCGCATGTAAATTAAAATGTCAATCTATTTTTTGACCATACGCATTGATAAAAGGTCCGTAAAATATATTATCTCGATGTACGGGGCCTAAAGTCAAAATTATCGTTCTGCCGCGATGTGTTTATTGTTGAAGTAAACTCGGATAAATTATTCGGAAAATATTGTACTGTAAATTACGACGCTTGTTCACATACTATTATAGACTACATAATATACACTGACCCGTTTCTATTTTATTTTTCTTTCTCGTTCACTGTGAAAAACGAAATTAATTTTATCTACGAAATAATCGATTTCCACACGCATAGTATAAATAAAATATAGGTATAGACTACAATTTCAAATTAAACAAAACCTTTCTACCCCAAAAAGTAAATACTTGAACCGATAATCGCGTATATAAACCGCAATATTGCTCCAAATTATTCATTAAATATCGTTAAAAAACTGAGCGTATACCCGCTTGGTGTATTTTTTTTTTTCTTAGAAACGTGTGTTAACGGAAATCGCTCGTGCACAATAATCAAATTAATTATTTCGACAACCGGGTAGTTTTCGTGATTCATTAAATATTCAGCTCGTATGATAAACTTGTGTACAAATGTCGAGTTTTCTTAGAACGGAAATTGCTAAGTTTTATTATAGTATCATAAAATATATTAATATACTGACAAAAATAAAATCATTGTTTAACATTTTTTTTTCCCCCATTAAAAACTTCAAAATTCTGGGTAAAACACATTTATTTTCAATCCAATTATATATATAGTTGAATGGAAATAATGTAAAAATATTCGTAAATTAAATTGTCAACGTGATTTTACAAAATGTTTACGCATATCTTTTGCCGTATTATAAGAATATAATATTATAAACGAATATTTATAATGCATATTATTAGCATACATTTTATTTGTCTTTATTGCAGAACATTTTTTAGCGTACAACCAGTGCGTGACCCCTTACTCCCCCCCTCCTGTCACGAAAAAGCTCTACAAAGGCGCGAACAGATATTTCAAACCCTAGCCTGAACTTTTGGGTCAACTAATTCAATCGTTTACCATTTATTAGCTAGTGGATACACGCGGTAAAAAAAAAACCCCTGTTCTACTCGGAATGTCCAATGGATTTTATTGCAGTGAGTCCATTCGGCGGACATAGAAAACATTGCCCGGCCTCGTTGATTTCGAACCGATATATTTTACGAGTATGATGTGTCTAGATCGGTATCGTTTTAAACCCGCTGACACTGACGCGAGCTCACGAATTAATGAAACAAATATTAAAAATTAACAAATATTGCATCAAAGTCAATGATTTGCGCATTATTCTGCGCCGTCTAATATATTCTACCACTTCATATTGTGTATAATAATTAATAAGTACTAAGCCGACATAAGAATCATTGTTGAGATCTCTGCCGAACCCTGTGATTCGCAAATAGTTTTTATTGCATTTTTCATGGTAATACTCGTTAGGTATCTGTACATTAACGGCTTGTATAATGTGTGAGTTAATGGCGTATTTAAGATTTTGCCAAGGCGAAACAAGATATTGGATTTGTAAATTGTGTTTTGATGTTATACAGTTATAGGTACATAAACTGTACCTAGGCTAAAAAAATGAAGATTAATTTCATTAATTTTTTCTATTTTAATTTCGTAAGTAATTATTACATTTCAATCTGTCTTAAAATAATATTATCATTGAAATCAAATAACTATGGATGTGCGTACAATAGTGATATTATTATGGTTGTTAGTTTTATTTACCGTAGTTAGGTGACCGGTGTATTGCCGACGAAAAAGATAAAACAAAACTACTTATTATCAACATCCTTTCACATTATTATTGTGGTTGGATAGGTTTCAGTTTAAACAAGTAAATACATGCCGACCAATGTTCAAGTTTTTTTAAAATTTATTTTTCGACTTTATTTACTATTATATAGATACCTATTAACACATTTTAGATTCAGAGCGCAGCGAGGGATCTATTGGTTTTAAAATGATGCATGTGCTTTTATTTTCTGTCTGTGTAAACAACTATTCGAAATTGTTACATTCGAAAAATGGCAGCAGACCTATCCTGTTGCTTTTGGGATCTAGTTGCTGGAAAAGTAAGTGGTTTCTTTTTTTTTTTCTGCGTAGGTGTCTTAAAAACTGAGTCAAATTGTTAAAATTAAAGAAAGAACGGACAAGTTTATGGAAACATATTATAATATAATAGTTTCATTGTTCATTAGTTAGTTAATTTCACGTAGTTTTCTCTTCTTCGAACCAAATATTGTTTTTTATGTCAAAATGGAATTTTCTGTGATTACGTCGACGTTGTGGACGCAAGCATATTATTATAAATAAATACATAATTTGCAATTTGTTTTTGTACTGTAATTATCTCAAAAATTGTTCGTATAAGGACTTGGAATTTCGATAGAAAAATCTTATTAGCATTTTCTAAATGTGGTAACATTTTAATAATATTTTGAATTATTCATATAGGCATTCTACATTTTCTAGATTTTTACGTAGTTTCTCAATGGTACCGTGTGTATAAAATTGTTTGATCAAACAGAAATGCTTCAACGTTTAATACGAAGTTCATTAAAAGTTTTACTCAGTGGTCGAAAAAAAAAAAGTTTAGTGAAATGTATTTTTTTTTTCATGTATTGGTTATTATAACAAATTTTGACGAAAATCGTAAATATTGGTGCCTTTTAAAACATCAACATTGCTCCGATCGTTTTTCGTTAGCAATGGTTTATCGTTGCTTACAGATATAAATTAAACAACTTTGTGTATTCTCCCTTCCCAGCTCTCCACCTATACAACAGCGGTGCACCCATTATCCGGTGCACGGACATTTCCGCAATTTATGATTCAAATATTTCACGAATCGATTATTATGAATGGTAACTATCACCATAACGTTCCGCGTTGTATTTTTTTGTTCGCAGTTTTTTTTTTTTTTTTTGACGTAAATTAATCTTATTAATCCTAGTGGTGTTCAAAATTGCGTTTTAATTTTATTCATATACCTACCTAAGCCAGCGTCCGACTGTACTTGGCACGGTACACTCATTAACAATCAATTTGTTTGAAAATAATTAACACGGTTCTGAACGACCGACGATATAGATGATTTTGAACGGCTTTTAGTGGGCACTCGGTGGGAGTTCAAAAGTACAGCGCAAATGCAATTATAATATTCCGAGTTAATTTAACCGAAACTACAACTTACTATAATAAAATTACACTGTAGCGCGTATTGTAAAACGCGTCATTACAATAATTGCGAATTTATTGCACCCATATTATGTGTGTTCTTCCGTTAGTTACTACGGTGCAGTATAATAATATGTAAACGTACCTATTCGACGTGGCAATATAATATTTTGTCACTATCGTTCGTTTTTATACGGAAATCTGAAATTTGTCGTATTATCGCTGTGAATTCTACCGATATTTTTATTATTGTATTTTTTTTTTCTCTGCAAATATCGTTAACCTACCCCGATAAAATTTAATAAAACAGTCCGCACCAATCGATCTACAGAATATATTTCCCCATTTAATAATTTCATCTAGTCGAGTGACGCGAGACAGTTTTTATCAAGCCGAAAACACGATATTAATATTGTGCGTTTATGGATACTAAAAATATAGTTGATCGCAATAGGTGTTTTTTAAATTCTGAGTAGAGCGAGAAATGTGCTGTTGATACAATAATGTTTCTTTTTTTTTTTATGTGAACACTCTGCTGAGGAAAACCTGGTTCTTTAGGTTAAAAAAGATTAAAAATAAGGTTGTCATTGGCAACCGTTTTTATTTATTTTTTGTTATTATTAAGTTTTTATTCTTTTAAAAATCTTTTTTAAACAATCGTTGTCACGGAAATGTTCATTGTTGCAATCATTTTACCGTAATATGACTTAATATCAACTGAACAACTGATCAGAATCGTTTTTTCGTTAACAACGGTTTATCGTTGCTTACAGATATACATTAAATTCCCGTGTGTATCCTACCTTCCCAACTTCCCACCTACAAAATGAGATAAACATCTCACGAAATCCCACGTGAGAGGTATGTCCGTCCTTTTTCTTTTTACCGGTAAACGTAAATGTACCCGTACATTTTACCAATTTTTTTTTTACAGCACAAAAATTGTGTGCGACCCCTTTAACCGAATGCGATCAACGACGTCTTCCTGGAATTATAAAAAAGATATCTACTTCAGCGCAGTACAGTTGTTGGAAAACGATAAGAACCGTTTTCGGTAACGCGGCCCGGTACTATTGCACACATAACAAAAGCCTACCCGACGTGGTTTCGCATAACAAATCGTGGTTTATTTTCGATTAATTTCCTCCATTATTCGCTTGCTTCGCGTTTAGTATTTAGTACTGAAATATTGCAAATTAAAATATGGGTACAAAAACAATTACGCTCTCGGGCCGTTACTATTCATCCTGATAATTATTAATTATTTGCCCGTATCATTTTCGAATAATCGTAATAGCCATCCGTATCTACATAATCAATTGACGATAAGAAGTAACAGTTATTATTTCACTAATCATAATATTGTCTATTAACTTATACTTACCATTTATTTAATAGCAATATTGATAGCAGTATGAATAATCAAATATTATTCCTAATATCATGTACTAGGTACTCGTATAGAAAACAATAGATCAATTTCTAGCGCATTATTCTTAATAATGAACTAAATTTGACAAGTATACACCAATTGTCTAATGACTAATATAAAAACGACGGACCTGAGATTTCGCCATTTTTCCATTTTTACCAATTAACCGATATTTTTTTTTTACGTAAATTCACCATTTCTGGTGTTTTTCCTTTTCCGTTCCACAGGAACATGACATCGCATTATTATTGCACTTGACCTTTATGCATTTATTGTGAACTTCTACACTCTGCGTATCAACGATATTATTATCAGACGTCATCGGCGCCGCGGCAGTTGTAGTTATGCAAAACCACGCCGGATGAGTCAAATGGAAATTTAAGGTTTCCGCTTTTCGAGGATTTTTGATTTTCTGTTATCGGGGGAGGAGAACTGTCCAAAGTCTGGGCACCACGGTACATTCTCGTTTCCTCCGCGATCGGGAATTACGTTCACGTTCCTCGTAGGAAAAATCTACGAGCACAATTAATGCGAATAGTGTTTTTTTATTATTATTATTATTATTATTATTATTGTTGTTCTTGTTGTTTTTTTTTTGGCACTATTCGGTCGGATACTTATTATTCTTCCTTTTGGCCGCGGTCGGTTGTAATGTCTGTATAACATAATACGCGGTTACGTTGCGCCTATAAAATACCGTAATAAAAATCGTCAGCCTTTTCGAACTGTCGTTTTTTATTATGAAGCGTGTGTATTGTATCGGACGACGATATTTTTTTGTTGACGTCGTTTTTTTTTTTTTTATTAAGTGTTCGGGCGAGCGTCCCGTCAACCTATCATCGCGGTCGACAGGATAACGTAATTATATTGTTTCGGGTCACGGGGTCACGACCTTGGAAATGTGGGGCAAACGTAGTCGTTTATTCGATTATATTGTAAATTTTTTCGTTCTTGATATATTATTACTGTTTGTACGCAAAATCTTCGGCACCCGGGAACGGTTATTATTATTGTATTATTATTTTGTGCCGCGATGTTTTGCGTGGGTGTGAATTCTGTACGTTTATATTACGTGCACGCACACACACGCACACACGAGTGCGCACACATTACAGTACTTACACACAGGCACACACACATACACGCACAACAGTCTCACGTATAATACAATACTGTATATATACTGTCACCCCCCCTTACCCAACCCCAATCAATACTAGACCAAGAGTTGGTACACAGTTGTTGTACGTATATATATAGGAGGATGGTAGGTATGCTGTCCTCCTCTCGGGATATCCTCCGCCTCGCCGACACAATCTTTCGTCCCCCGGGTAATGTCTCGTTTGTCCAGACTGCCCATTGTGTCCCCCGTCCGTCGATTTAGTAGACGTGCGTATAAAACGTTTATAGACATCACGTTCATACGAATAAGTATATACGACCACTCGAAAACGACGTGCAAAAAAAAAAAAAAAAAATGTATAAATTACTATCGTTTACGCCGCGAAATGACAGGAATATCACTTGATATTGAATATGAATTGTATTCCGGGAGGGGAAATCGGCACCCCTAGTATTTCATAACCCCCCTCCTGATAAATACAACTGTCGAAAAAATGTATACATTAAAATATGTACAATATTTGTTACTCGTAACGTCATATTTCATAGAAATTATAGATGTAGAAAAAGTGAGCCCCCTCAAAAAAATTGTCTATTTTCAAAACTACAATACATTTACACACGATCATTAATATCGCATTAAATGTATACGAGATGGAATATTCAGAATCACATTAATATCTTTGATTTGCGCCATGGGAGAAGAACGATGATGCGGCAGTGGCAGAACCAAAGTTAAATTTCGGAGGAGGCTTTCCCCCCAGAAAAAAATACTACTAAGAAAAACTTAATGTGATACTGGGGGTGGATGCAACCACTATTGTAAGTGGAAAGTTGAGAAGTTATGACGTATTAGGTTATTTGATTTATATCATCTGTAAACACCGGTAACCATTGATAACTTATATTTAGATTGTAGTAACAATTTTGGTGGAACATTTTTTCACGGTTGGAAAAAAAATTTAAATACATCATAGTACAATCAATCGACCAATCAATACATTCACCATTCCTCTCTGATTTTCTTCCTTAAAAATCTTGTATTATGCATGCGTTAAACAATTAATTATTTGTGAAAGTAAAGACGTTTGTATAGTCTATATTTTGGAGGAGAAAGCGATGCCTGGGCCTCCGGATCCTTTACTGAATACGACATAGTCGAAAAACAAACGACCGCACGTGTTATAAGTGAAGCGAGCAAAACTTGTAAGATACTGAACAGTACGTTTTAAGTCAGAAGATGGAATATAATATTGGACACATTATGAGACACACAGAAGAGGATCTACTTAATATTATATGTATTTTATTTTAGGGTAGGATCAATGACAAAATATACCTAGGATGACCAAGAACATATCTTATTATTTCATATAATATAAAATGTATGATTCTTAACAAACTATACAGGCCAGCTGACGATAAAGAAGTGTGGAGAATACAAGAAACTGCAAAACCAAACTTAGAGTTGAATACTTAAAACTGAAGAAGACTATATAAAACATTAAACGAACATAATATTGTTATCGAATTCAGTGTACTCTTCAGTTAAATTGAGAGTAATCTAAAAAAAAAAAAAAAAAAACCAAGACATATCTACTTTGCATCAAACGAGCCATTGTAGACTTTTGTTATAGGATAGAGTTGTTGAGTTATAGGACATAAAAAAATGTTTAATTAAAAAATAAAAATCGAGTATAAAATACTAAAAGACAGTGATTCTCCGGTGGAAAATGTTTGGTCCATGTGTGGATATATAAAAGTCTGAAAAAATCAAAACCCAGAATAACTATATATTATATGGGAGACCGAGTAGAGCTCAAGAACAAAGAAAATGCAACTACAATATGGACGTTAATATGGCATCCGTGTAGGAAAAAAGGGTCATTGATAAACTAGATTCAATCTGGATTTCCCGAAGGGAAAAGACCGTCAGGATGTCTACGGGTACAAGGTGGGAAGACCAGATAAGAAAATATGAAGTAAATTGAAAAAAGTCTGCGGGGATGCATTGTAACTAGGGAATTAACCTCGAATAGCGAACAGTAAAGTGAAATTTGTTTGTCAGTCTTATTTAGTCCTCGAGATTGCAGATGACGAGAAGAACATTCTACAATATTGAGTCTTCGTCTCGCACCGCCAACTCGACAAATTATTAATTTGCATCGACAATAGATTTTGTTATTTTAAAGCCCAAGTATAATTTTAATTTTGGTATACAACATAAAAGTGTACAATAAAAATAATAATAATATATTCAAATTTAAATGTACAATAGGCGCATAAAATTTTACATAGGTCGATCAAACGAAAATTATTAACTTTTTCGGAATTTGTTTTTGTATTACTTTTTTTTTTTGTATCCCTTAATTTAGGGGTTGAAACCACTAATTACTTTTGATTTTCAAATGGCAACATACAATACAAGTTCCATAAATAAATGGAGTAGTAGTTGAAATCAATTTTGGTATTTAATTTCAACCCGTTGACAGGATATTCCACTTTTAAGTTATAGCGGGTGGAGAATGCAGGATGGTGCATAATTTGTGTGACGGCAGTGACGTGTGGCGTTTCAATAGTTTTCAACCACTATCTTAAACATAGACTCAAAAATGAAATATTTTGTCACTGGGTACACGGAAATTAAAAATTTCAACACCAAAATTGATTTAAATTAATACTCTAAATTTAATACTCAATGTATTTGTGGAATTTTTAGTATACGTTGCCATTTGAAAATCAAAAATAGGTAGTGGGTATTGGTAGGCATATCGTTCATTATACTGATGAAAAATTGGTGTAAAGTAATATTTTAGAGCTATTTATGTCTTAAATGATCTAAAAAAAAAAACAAATTTCAAAAAAAGTAAATATATTCTGATACAATAAGTCTTTTACGTTACTGTGAATTTTGTTTACTATTAGATATATATATCTAATATACATACATATATATATTATTTATTTAATATAAGTATAAAGCGAAATGTATTCAAACTGCAAGTGTCCGTACAAACTAATTTCAACTTCTTGAGAGATGTAATAATTCGAAGCACTTATAACTTCTAGAAAACAAAAAAAAAAAAAAATGCTTTAGAAATTAATATAAAAAAAAACAAAACAATTTAACGAGCATTAAAATTCCGCAACGTTATCCGGTGCTCTTTCGTAACCGTTTAAAATTAAATTTTCTATAATAAAGAAAAGCCATTTCATGTCTCTTTGTCTTGTTTAATTTCCGTTGCGATTTCTAACATCCAATAAAGATATAAAAATTCACCAACGATCCTTAATATGTATAATTTTAAATTTAATTTCAAGTATACAAATCAATAGATTAGTCCCCGTAACCTCGTGTATTATAACGTAAATACGAAATATTGTAGGTATTGAACACCGCTATAAAAAATTGTTTGAATATTTAAAATGAAAAAAATATAAATAAGTACACTTAGAATTGTTTTCTGTTGGCATTAATACGAAGAAAATAAACTATGTTTTACGAACTCTATAGTAAGTATAATAGTGTTCTGGAATCGTTAAAAAAAAAAAAAACGTAAATATTTCAATGCCGTCGAATTGTCTTTGTTAAAAAAGAAAACCGTATTTTTCGTATGTTATAGAAAAATATTTTTATCGAAAATCTTCACTTTCTTAACATTTTAGATACTGAAAAACACATATCAGCTTAACAAAGGCGCAGACGTGTGTGTTTTTTAGATTCTGAGGGTAGTACTTTTTTTTCTGTACTTTTCAACAAGAAATCTTTCTTGGTCATCACGTGTAGAAATTGCTCTGAAGGAAAATGTTGTCTAGATGAGATCGTTTTTTATTTTCCTTGAAGTTTTTTATAATAAATGAGAAAGAACAGGAAAATGTACGATTCTGTTATTTTCCTTTTTTTTTTTTTTTCTAATTTTAAATCGGTTTAAAATAATGCGGAGACTTGAAATGTTCACCAAATACTTTTATTGGCCTTTCGTAGTTTTCTATATATTCTGGTGATACTCAAGCTGTTATTATAGGCATTTTAAATTTTCTAGGGTTTTTATTTTATATTTGGTTTTATATGAATATAATTTTTTTCACCTAACCAAAATGTTTAAGAAGTTAATTTTATGTAGTATAGTACTTGGCAGTAAAAAAAAAGAATAAAAAACAACAAAATGTTAAAAAAAAATTTTACAAGCGTCAAATTTTGACGAAAATTATAAAAATCACGTCTTAGAATTGTATTTTGTTAGCAATAATTTATTGTTGCGTACATATATAGTTCAAATTACTGCTCATATTCTATTTTCCCGAATAACCACCTAAAACCGTGCCACAGCATTCCTGCACCCACTGCAAATAGTGTCATGTTTTTAAAATATTCAAAAGAATTCATGCAGTCAGGTTCTCTTATTTCAGCATTGTACTGCTCTTTTGGAGTGTTCTTCCAGCCTCTGGAACAGACTGATCTCTCGGTGGCCTATCCTCATTTAGGGGGGGTTCCAGAGGCTTTTTTTGTTCTTCCGCAGTTTTCATTTTAAAAATTTACCTCTCTGCGCACGTTTATAGTCTAGTAATGGATAAACCGGGCTTACTCCTCTAGCAGATCGAAGAGCGAAAGTCAATTTGCGGTTTTTGCATAAGCTAATTAACGGACGTGTTGATGCTCCCGTTTTCCTTTCCTTAATTAATTTTAAGGTTCTAATACGTTTCACTAGTCCGACTCTTCTTTTGTTCCGTTTCCCACCACTAACTATTATAGGAACTACCGTATTCACCGTACAGAGCGTCTGGGTTATGAGTACAGAAACTTCTTTTAAATTACTATTATTCTTATTATAGTTATTGTTATTACCACCATTTGTTACTCTACCGATTCTATATATATATTTTTTTTTTTGTTGTTGTTTTTAACTGTTATTCTTTATTTCACTATGTTTACTATTATTTCATTTCTGTTATTAATGTTTACTACTAGGACTTGTTCGTTAAATAAATACAAATATGGAGATTTCTCAAACTGGCTCAATATGCATAATAATATTATCAGTTAAGTTTTAATACAAATTCAACAGATCGTATTATAATTATAATAAGCTAATATCTACTAATGTGTACCTGCAGTATCAGCCCGACACAAAATATTCAGAGGACACGGCCTCTCAAAAATCCTTTCATCACGCCAATGTCTATAATCTTCTAATAATCGAGATATTAATTACGCCATTTTGATATTCGATAATATGATTTTATACTGGGGAGCAATAATGAACGAATTACAAATTATTGAGAAATGCCAGTGCAATATTTTACAATATTAAGCCGAACTGCCGTCCTGGGGAAATATGGAATTTTCCGGTCCAATGGGTCGCCCTCTAAATATAAATTATTGCGGGAATTATGGCGACCTTCTCTCTCTCGATAAAACTAATTTTATATTTGAAAAATATAACTATGAGTATCAATACGATTTTTTTTCTACGGCATCAAGCTGAAATCTCATTTACACGATCACAATCCATGTTAGATGAAATTAGATACTATGCGATTTATTGAGCACCTATTTTGTTGATCGCGAAAGCGCTATATTAATATATAATTTACATCTAGGATGCATCTATGCAACATACCTCCTATGCACAGTACCTTTATTTTAACCTAGGTAATCTAGGCTAAAGCCAACAGAAATTAGAAGGCCTCTATAATAGGACAATATCTATCGCGATCCTTAGACCCGGAGAAATTGTGGTACACAAAACACACTAAATTTTCCAAACCACTTTCGATAATAAGTCACGATAGATCAACGCCACCCTGAATAGATCACTGTATAGGTAAAAACTGTGTCAAAATACACCAAGATCAAAAATGTGATTATTTAAAAAAATATGTAATATATATAGGCGATTTTCTGCACAAGAGCGGCCAACTCAAACTGAATATAAAACACTAGAACCAAATATATTATGAATAAATGGTACAGTTTCTGTTTTAAATTTTTACGCGAAAATAAATGCATTAAATAAAATAATAATATCATTAATTTGACAAGTTCAAAATTAGATAAATAAAAAAAAAAAAAAAACACGAATTTTTACGTAATTAGTTAAATTAAGTGGTTAAGTGGAAAGAATAATTAGTAAAACTTTAAATTGACATTCTTTTATACTTTTCAACCTAACTTAGATCGTTATTTTTTCTCCCCGAATGTAATTGGACCATTGGAATTCCACTCTATCCACTCTATTCGATTTTTCAACGTTCGAATAGTTAAATAATTTTCAATACGAAGATTTTATCGACAATACATCACGTAGCTAGGTAAGTCGTAAGTTCGTAACACTAAACGAATGTAAAATTATTCGAACTCTGAAGAAATCGTCGTCGCCGGTTTACCGTCGTCATAAGACGTAAGACCACTGTCGTTCAAAAAGAAAAAAAAAATGACATGATTTATATGTAACATACTAACATATAATAATAATACGTGCGTGTGTACAGCGACTGTGTGTATAATTTTTGAATTACACTAATATAATATCTGTTGCCTGTTATTATGAACAATAAAACCATCAAGATTTCAGTAATAGCAGAGGTTGAAAATCACTACTTTCATGTGCGCTATCACTAGAGTTACATTTATATCCCTGCAATCATTGCTACTATGTTTTAGTTGGTTTTTTTTTACTAGTGTAGGGCACCATAAAATTCGCTTTTTAAAAAGTTGCTACTGTTTAGACTTTAAAAAGATAATTTATGAATAGGTACCGACAATGTATTTACATTTGACGTATCCGACAAGAGAACAAGAAACTATACGTTCACTATGTATAACTCGTTTTCAGTTTGTAAGTTTCACATTTTATTTCACTATAAACTAAAACGAAAATAATATTACTATAAACTTTTTTTAATATTTCGTTAAATTCACAATTTTATTTTTGTAAAAAGTAACGAAAGTTTTCCTAGGAAAAATACAGAGTATCAAAATAAAGTTGTTACCTCTGCAAAATCGTTTTATAAAATACAGCATTACTAAATTATACCTCGGTACCTCGGACTACTGATTATTCGTAACAAATTGTTAATGACGAACCATATTTTGGTTATATTTGTATAATATTTGATTACAATATTTATACAGAAGATAAAATATATGTACATAAGGTGATCCATTTAGGTACACTCATTATCTCGGAAAGTATTAACCAACTTAAATTTTTTTCTGTTTTGACAATTTAAAATTTTAAACCGCTCTTCGCCCATTGTTATATTCAGATTTCATCTTTTTACATAAAATAACTAATTATATGTACTCTTAGGCAGCTTGAACTTCCAATTTCCAACCAAACCGACCCCTCCGTCTGTTTATATGTTAAACAAAATCTCGAGAACTATTTCACCTATTTTGAGAAAACTTTTTTTTTTGTCTAATTTCCAAAAAAAACGAAGAAATATTGTAAAAACAAGTCAATTGGGGAAAAATTCGACTATAATAACGTAGCTGTGAAACTCATGTGTTAATCATTGTATATTTTTTTTTAGTATAGAAAGCAATCATATCGTATTATTAAATAAGTGTATAATATCGATAACCGAAGTACCTACTATTATCGTTTTAAAAAACATAAAAAACAAAACGGACTTGGGTTGGGGAATTACGAGAAACGTTTCAAATAAAGTGCCGTCGGACAAAAAAACCCATATCCTTTAGGGTGTAACGTAAAGAAATCGAAGTATTCCTACTAACCAATATAGTAATTCTCGTGCAAAAAAACACGCTCACACACATCTACGTACAATTATAGTAACTTCTTCGGTTTATTGGAATTCTAAAACAAATTGTTAATGAAAAAAAAAGACGAAACTTTGTAACCTAACCGTTCACCTTGCATCCCCTTTAGTTACAAATATCCGTACATTTACTTATCTGGTATCGGTAATAATTAATGAACCTGCAGTATACTGAGAGTGTCCGTTATTCAGAGGTTTCACTGTACTATCATAAACGTGTAACTGAAACGTATTTATTTATTTATTTTTTTTTTCATGACAAAAATTAATATTTGAAAAGAAAAAGTTTTGTTCGTAATAACATTATGATAAAAAAACTTTTGTTTATTAGGTACGCACAATATCATATTATTATATATGTATATATATATTCAAGTTTTTAATAATATTAAATTTTAATTTGAGAATATATATAATACCCCAAACTTAACAATACGCTTATTTATACATTATAATATTATAACATAGTTATATTTACTAAAAAACTTCTTTAATATTCTAAAAAAAAAAAAAAAAACTGATATTTCTGATGGATGTGTCACTGTTGTAGACGGGATGTTAGGACGGTAGAATGTATAAAGTTATTTAATTTACATCTGTACGCAATGATAAATTTTTATGCTAACAAAATACGATTCTGAGCGAAGTTTCTTTACACGTATTCTGAAAAGTAATTTTTATGATTTTCGTCAAAACTTGAATTTAAAATTTTTGTAAAAAAAACTATTACACGCTACATATCATTAAGTTAAAATAATAATTTATCTCGTGTAAAATTGACAAACATTTTTATTAAAATGGATGGTAAACTCAATGAGATTCTTAAGTCAATTACCTGACTTAAATTCTACACAATCCAAATTAGTCAAGACAGTTAATAATCAAATAACCAACTTGAGTCGCATAGTGGGAAAATTGATTTCATTCAAACCAAGATTGATAGTTATAATGTTTCCTTCTCGGAATTAAATATTAAAATTTATTTATTTTCCGCCAGAATTATCTCTTTTACCGATGAGCTAAATCTATTGAAGACTAGGGTTGATTTATTAGAATATAATTCGTCAGCCGAGTTTGTACTCGGTGAGCTCTCGGAGCGTGAGCATCGAATATATAATGTATTATTATTCAATATTCCTGAACCGAAAAATGTTTTTGACCCTTCGGACGATGTCACTGTTGCTGAATTATTCAAATTGTTGAAGTTAAATATCTCCCCTATTAAGACGTCCCGTTTACGTAAACCTGACGCTAAATCAAAGTTGAGCTATCTTCTTCTCCCACTGTTTTCGAGGTATTCAAATCTAAACACAAATTACGTTCACACACCACATTTGGCCTAATTCGTATTTCCACTGACCGTACTACATATAAACGCACCAATCTCAAAAATGTCTTAAATTAATTAACCGCAAGATAGAACCAAGGTGAACATGATTTAATTTTAAAATACTTAAAGGGTGTACCTACTGTCTCAAAAAACGATCAGTCACCTCAAACGGACTAAATATTTACTAGCAAAACGTCCGAAGCCTTAACCAAGATATATATATATCAGTTAGTAATACTGCCACTAACAATTATGCTATTATTTTTACCGAAACCTGGTTAACTCCAGAAACTCGTAATGCACAATCAAGTTTAAATCGGTTCGCTATTTATCGCTGCGACAGTTCGCCGTCAGTAATAAATATAATTCTTATCTCTTATCGGTTAATAATCCGACCGTTAATCAAGTATTTGTACTGATTAAACTTTTCAATATTTCTATTATTATTGGCCAGCATATACATTTCACCTTCATCGAACATTTAATGTTAAAATATTTATTTTAAGACCGCGGACAGTTTAAAGTCCGCACATAATAATGCCAAATCGCTCTTGCTGGGTGATTTTAATTTGCCTAAATTGAGATGGTGATCTGTTGCTAATGGACTTGTCCCAGATCTTTTTCCTCTAGGTCTTATCGAATTTGAATTTATTTCCTTTTTATCACACCTTAATCTACATCAATTTATTTAATTTTGTTACTATTCAAACCATGTTATACTAGATTATGTTGTTTCAAACATCGATAATACGGCTGTCCCTTAAGAACACAGTCCTCTCCTAAAACTTGAGTCTCACCATCCAGCGTTCATTATTTCTTGTCCAAACTTTTGCATGCGACCTCTCTCATTTTCTGAAGTATCTTATAACTTTCAATCAGGTGATTATTTTAATTTAACGAATTACTTAGCTTCAACTAATTGGATCTCCTGATTTAAAAATTGTGATATTAACCAAGCTGTTACTAATTTTTACGATATTCTATATGACGCAATTTATAAATGTATACCTATTGTTATCTCACATAAATCAACTTTTTCCAATTGATTTTCCCCAACAAAAAAAAAACTTGTATCTGAAAAAAAAAACAGACTCATAAACAGTTCAAATTTACAAACTCTCCTGTTGATTATAACATAATTTTAAATTTGAGAAGTTGATGTAAACAGTTAGCAAAACGTTATTATTTTTCTTACATAATCTATGTTCAAAATTCTATCGTTCATAATCAAAATAAATTTTGTAATTAAAAGTAAGAAAGCTAAATAGCTCCCCAGCTGTATGCACCTAAATGATGTCCATACTGACAATGGCTCTAAGATAATGGATTACTTTGCCGATCATTTCTCCAGTATTTATTTAAAATTAGTTTCTTCCTCTCTTGTCACATGTCATTCTCAAAATACCTCTTTTCCATGTCTTAATTTTTCTTTAACTTCATATTCTGTCAGAGGTGCTACTAATGAGTAGTTTCCTCAAAAATGTCCTCATGTTATGTAAAATATTCCCGTTTTAAAACATTTACTTACTGTACTTCTTAAGTATAGATTGTAAATAAGCTGTATTATAAATATAAAAAAAAAATAAACTTCATATTCTATATCTATGGCTGACATCTTAAATTGAATCCACCGCAAATTCTTTGCAAACTTGGTTTCCCCTATCCGTATAAGTTCTGATCATTTTAATTAACTAGCGTCCTATCTATATTTGCTTTTATCGATTGTTATATTATTCGAAGATCTTGTTTCTAAGCAAATTATTCGTACTCTTAACTATGAAATAGTAAATGAGCAACATGGTTTTCGAAGTTCTAGATTAATAACTACTCATTTATTTGTTTTTAAACAGTTTATAAATGATGCTTTTGAGGAAGGTCATCAAGTTGATGTCATTTGCACGGACTTTTCCAAAGCTTTCGACACTGTTAACCACGCCATCTTAAAAAATAAACTTAAATCATTTGGCATTTGTGACTATCATGACTTTTTTCATATTTTTCCGATCGTTCGCAACTCGTAAAATACAAAAACTATTTTCCTACCCACCTACGAAATCCAATATTGCGCAATATGCTCTTCGGTTATTTCTTTTATTGGAACAAGATTTCCGGGAGAGAAATTGTTGAGACAAAAAAAAATAATAATCACACAAATCATAGGAATACCAATAAATTCCTCACTAAGTTTAGAATCTAAAAAAATAATCATAAAATTCAAAATTGCACTGATTTTAAATTTACAGTTACAATTATTTTGTAACAATATCATTATTTTGCGCTAAAATGAGCAAATCGATAGACGAGAACACAAACGTTCAATCTTTTTTATTCGGTCCAATTTTTAATTTTACGACCCATTAAACATAATTGTTTTTTTTTTTATTTATATATATATATATATATACATACAAAACTACATTATGTCAATTATATACTATATACTTTATTTTTGAAAGGAAAATATTAATTTAGTACCTATGCGAAGTTAGTAGAAAAAAAAATACTTATACTCAAAAACTATTTTAGTATATATATATATAAAAAAAAAGCTAATACTGAAGATGAGTGCAGCCACTATCGCAGGTGGGAAGTTGAAACGGTAGCATATAAAATTGTTAAATTTTTATCTATACGAAACGGTAAGCCATTGTAAACGAAAAACGATTCGGAGCGAAGTTATGTAAGACATATTTTGAAATGTAATTATACGATTTTCTTCAAAATTTGATCTTAAAATGTTTATGAAAAAAAAAAAACTTATGTATTAAACTCAAATTTGTTTTTATACCACTAAGCACAACTTATGATGTACTTTTTGTTAAATAATTAAGCATTTCTCTTAAGTCATTAGTCATTTTTCATTTCATTTCAGTAGCCTTGTGTTTTTTATATAACAGATATCTACCAAATAAAAATGCATAAAAAAACACAAAAATATCAAATAACTATAAATTACTAATCAAAAATAGTTAGAATATTTTACCATTTCCACAAAAGACCAATATAAGTATTTTGTAAAAACTGCAGTTCTCTATGATATTTTTAGTCGAATAACAATAAAAAAAACCCGAAGCCGCACACTTCGCCGCATTTCCTATGTTTTTTCCACGCTATTATAATTATTAGAAAAACTATAGGGAAAATCAAACAACTTTTTTACTCTCAATAAGGACACAATTTTTTTTTTCAAAAAGTATGCTATTTTTGAAATTTGGACAAGGGGATTTCTGGTAGAAAAATTTTATTTTAAATTAAACATAGTTCATAGCGAAATTGTTGCGCCGTAATTTGAAAAAATTGTATTTTTCGTCTTTGGTTTTTTCCATTTGTTATGAAAACTACTTTAAACATCCAAACACTGTCAGTGTCTAGATATTAAAAGAATAAAATCGATCTCTCGTCATTTCAAAGAAATATCTGTGGTAGAAGATATAGTTTGCGAAAATTAAAAACAATGAAATCGGTAACGCCGCGGTGCGCCGTATATATTTTCCGTTTTATCTATAATTTTTTTCCGGTTTTTCTCAATTATTTTTAAAACATTTTTGGAAAATAGAAAAACGCCCTTTTTATTGTACTAGGCCGAGAAAATTTTTGTTCAGAAAAAACGCAGCATTCTGTACATCAGAGACAGAAAAAAAAAATTACAAAAACAATAGATCCTTCGCTATGCTTCGAATCTACCATATCTGAAAAATTAAGTTTGAATAATATTTGAAATTTTCTTATTCAAAAAATAAATAATAATATAGCAGAACTTCGATTGTCTTATCTGTTTGTCCTGCAACTAGGATTATACATATAGTGCAAATTTGTTGTACTTTCGTTTATTAGTCAAACATCGTCGAGTTCGGCTTTGGTTAAACTTGACTTTGATGGTGTCGAAATACGTAAACAAGAATAGTTTCACTAAATGTTTACACTGAATAGTTTTTTTTTCGACATTTTCGAAAGTTGTTGGTTGAATTGTTTTCTGTTATTTGTTGAATTAGTGTTACAGTAAGTTTAAACTTCTGTCGCTGCAGCGTTTGCGTTGTGGTGACACAATGTGTTCCGACGTCGCGTATAACAATTTTATCATCGGTGTTTGAGTTAGCCGTACATCTAAAATGATAAATTAATCTTATTCCGCAATTTCAATAGATTTTAAGTGCGTTTAAACGAATCGAATGAATGTGATCCATATCCCGCTGTCTTCCACGTCACAATCGAGGTGATTATTTCAATGTAAACAATAGTTGAATTCGCAAGCCGCAGAAAATATTATTCAATAATTACAGAAAAAAATTACGACGGGTGTGCTAGAGGGTGGCGAACAAAACGATTGGAACGTACGTGGCTATGTGGCGATTTGTAAAACGAACGATATCGGCTTAATCGACTGATGCAGTTGGGACGTTTTCGATTCGACTGGAGGAAGCCGGACGTTATATCTCGTATATTGGTGTACGCAAAAAAAAAAAAGGCGTGTCGTATCCGGACATTATAAAGTGGACTGAAAACTGTATGTGGACGTAGGCATTATCGTTTGGGCACATGCAATGGGACCGCCCGTACAGGCGGGGAGGACGCGGCGAAAATAATGCTCGTTCGTCATGCCCGCGGGAAAACGCACACGGTACTACCACGCCGAGAGAGCGCGGTCATAACGGTGATTATCGTTATTCGCGCGCGACCGTCACGCGTCGCGTTATCGTCGATTAACGCGTTTTCGATAGGCGCGACGAACGGAAACACACCGGCATGAGCGACGGCGCCGTTCGGCTGTTCGAGCTGTAAAGGTACGGTCTCCCTTGCGCGATCGCGAACGCGAACCGATCCAAGATCGCGCATCATTATCGCGCGACTACCGATACAATGTAAATTAGATACAGTCGGTTTTCCTTGCGCGATCGCGGTCGGCGATCTAAATTCGATCGCGGCGCGATTAATTTGTTATTTTGAAAGAAAATTATGATATGAGTATATGACGTTCATTTATGATTGACTGCTGGTTGACGTTGGTCGTGTCTTTCAACAACGAGTGCTCCAATGACCAAATTTCAGCAAAGTAGAAGAGATGAAGTTATTGGTTTCCTTATTAAATTTAAAATAAAATCAAACTGATTACGATTTATTCTAAAAAATTCTCGAAATTTGATTTCATTATTTTTCAAATGACCGTTGATTAGTATTTCATAATAACCTTCCGTACTTCTCTTTGTAAATAATTGATCATGGCCTTTTCTTTTTTCTTCTGACAAATATAAGAGCAAAACGTCATCATCATCTTCTTCTTCTTCTTCAAAAAGAATTTTCAATATATTTACGTCGTCAGATGTATCAATTATAATTTAAAAATTCACAGTATGTTCGTTTATACCGTTCACTAGAGTACTTCACGCATCAAAATATTAAGTACGGCTGAATGATGAGATATAAATTACACTCGATCGCGACGTAAAATCGTTCAGAACAAACCAAGACGACGACATGCGAACGCGATCTTCTAGTTCGTCGATCGCGTTCGCTGACCGCGTTCGCGATCGCGCAAGGGAAACCGTACATTAAGATCGTCGGTTCTATTATCGCCTGCGACGGCGTGCGATTCGACATGTTCGGTCCCCGTAGTGGCCGGCGCGACGTCACGGTTGTCGGCCGTTACGGTGCCGCGGGGGTACGCGGCCGCGAGCCCGGGGTTACGATTAGTATGTGACCACGGCCGCCGCCGCCGCCGCCGACGCGTATGTGCCGGCGTTGTTTCGCTATACCTATACACCGATAGACACGTCATCGACCCGCGCGCGCAATAACCGCGTACCGGATGACGTGCGAAGCCCGGTCGCGGACAGGAATTTTAAACACCCGGCCGAAACACGCTGCTGCAGTACCGGCGAGTTGACGGCGACGCGGACCTATTGGGATTCGGAACCCGACTGTCGTGCCGGCCGCGGCGCGGTGCGTTTCCTTCGTCCCAGCGGCAGTCGAATGTTCTCGGCCGGCACCGGCGTCCAAATCGAATACGGCGAAGACGTGCGGTTACAGCGGTTATCGTTACCCGTGCGTCGTCGTAAGCGACTCGGTAAAAATCGATACGTTATTACGACAAACAGGCGCCGCGGTTTCCCATACGGAATCGGTGAACGAAATGAACATTCGACAATAACATTTAAAACATTCAAACGGATTTCACGGACGATTTAACGGCGACAACAGCCGGCGCGTTTGAAGATTCGGGAAAACGCCCTTGACCAGTCTCTGATCAAGGTGAAATTTTCCGCAAAGCCGACTTTTATATTTGCTGCCATTACAATAGTTTGCCGCGCGAACGCAGCTCAACGTTGTTTACTATATTATATGATTTACTCAATTAAATTGAATTTGTATACATTTTGTGATTTGTGTTCGCCGGACGTTTACCGCGCGTCTCGTATCGCATTTTCCCAATTTCAACCGGTCGGCTATTCTAACCGCACACTTTTGGTAATACTAAGAGGCGCAATACCGGGTGAACGAGGTGGGAAAACGCCACGGGCCAAACAATCGACTAGGGCCCCAGTAGTAGCCTAGACCAGGCCCAAGGCATCGTTGGACAGATGATGGTCTTTTTGAATTCTGTTTTGCTTATCGGTACAGCCTTTAGGACCTTAACGCAATATTTTGCCACGGGCACATATACGAGTTTATAACATTATTAGACAATGGCGCTTGAATACGGACTATACACTTGCGTCAATTAATATTCATTTTTTTTTTTTTTTTTTTTTTTGAAACTTTGATTCATATAATATGTATAGGTACTGACCGGTTGTATATTCTACAGTTACTAACTGATTTGAATGAATTAATACCCTACACGAAACTTTTAAAACATTTAAAACGTTATCATATTCCATTATTATTTTTATAGTTAACGCTAATGTGATGACAATGGTGTCGTATATGATGATGGATAACGTCGTCGTCGTCGTCTAAAAAGTAATTTCTAATAAAATATGTATGCCGTCGATTTTAATTTAAAATTTTTCTTTGCCTACATTAAAAACTTGTCTGTTTTATTTTCATTATAAAGTTGTAACGAAATGAATAAATTAAAAATTAAATTTATTGAATATTCAAAATGAATAGTAATAATAATAATAAATTTGTATGACACGGAAAATTATCTTTTAAAAGGTTTTATGAGTTGGTTCGGAATTAATTTTTAGGTTTCCGTTATTCGTATAATATTTTTCATTGTGTTTTTATATTTGTACGCTTGCTGTTGGATTTGTCTGCAGTCGGTGACGTATCCGAGAGTTTTCAATGGACGCGAGGGGTGGGGGGCGAATAAACATATTAAATTCAACGTATGTATTATGATATATAATTCAAGAAACATGTAATATTATCTACGTTTATCGTAAAAAGCCTTTTTCCTGAGGTTATTTCGCAATTTAGCATTATCGTGTAGCCGCAATATTATTTGCACTCGGTTGAACAATTAGTGCAACCGGCGATATGGGCGGGATCTCGGGTTAGAAATTTGACGCGTTGTCTAAATCGCAATAGTACACTGTAATAGAGATAATGAGAATATTTTATAATATAATTTAGATAACTAACGCATTTTGTAGTTTTGATAGGTGTGTATTGTATTCGCTGTTACACTTACTGTACAGTCGTGTAAAACTTCTTTTTTTTTCGAACCGAATGCGATACATACGGTTTTGGAAAACACGGAGGAACACAATTTATATCAAAACTGCGATACTCGTTTTAACCGCCGCGTCGTGCCGTTTACTTTGTGTTAAAATATTATTATGTATAGTCTGAGATAAATTTGTCGTCGTTTTTTATTAGTTCTCGGCACGTGAATTTTCCGTTTTCACCGACTTTCGGTGTAGGTACGCGAAATTTCCAAACTATCGTCTGGCGTGTCTGGTCGTACAACAGTTATTATTTCACGACAATATTACGATACAAATAATTTTTGTGATCGGGGTACGATTATTATTATTGTTATTTTTTTTTTTTTGAGACATTTTTATCTAGACAATAGTCTTTACAAAATATAATACAATGCACGTTGGGTTCGTAAACATTAAATAATACACGATTAACACGTACGCATATATTATATGAAAGTGTTCGGGGTCGTACCAATAGTTCGGCAGCCCTGACCCCTAGCCTAAATCGCTTAATCAAAGTGGTGCGGCTTCGAATGTTTGAGGCGTCTGATGTCTTGTCCGAGCGGTCCAGAAATTGTTCACTCAATTTGTCACTCTGTAATGATATGCTATTTAAGCCATAATGTAAAATAAAATATTACGTAATGCAACGTATAACCAATGTTGTAAAATAATTATAATAATTCATAGCCATTAAGTATTAGTAGATTAAGTTGTTAGTATTGACCAGATTAAGATAACACATTTACACACGCACACACACACACACACACACACATAGGTCTCCGGTTATAAGGAGACCGGCCACTTTTAATCGCCCTCGGTGCGTGTACTGTTCCCGTTCCTTTTGGACGGATGATCACAAGCGAGTATAAAGACTACGCAGAGATTAGAGGAGGTAGAAAGCGAAAATAGCGCCCGGGCGCCAAAAACCCGAATACGTTTCTGGGCGGTTCATATTATTTTCGGTCGACCGGGTAAACTAATTTTTTACTATAAGCTTACCAATATTATGGTTTATAATCCGCAACAACTTATACCCGGTATATTATAATCTAATATATAATGTACAATATACAGAGTGACCATTTTATCACGAACTATACCTGAAAATAATATTTTGAGACCATTTTATTTTGGTTTTTTTTTTTTCTTCAAATTGTTTATACAATGTACTATAATCATCGAACTTTCAGTCAAGTCTTTCATTATTTATTTACATATTAATTTTGAATTTTGATGCTCGAAAAAAAAAACCAAAATCAAATTTACTCACAATTTAACCTACATATATAAAATCGCCGGTTTATCACAATAAAAAAAATAAAAATCAGCTCACGTGTATAAAAAAAAAAATGGCATGTCTAGGAATTTCCAATAGGGAGTGATCGGAATCATCGCTCATGAATAAACCGTAGAACCGTCTTTCATTGTCATTCCCAAAACGCCAACTTTTTATTTAATAAATCAAGCTTTTTTTTTTTTCTAATTAGGCTAATATATTACTTCATGATAAAAATACTAAATAAACACGCGTTGTATTTTTAATTCAATGTGGATATATACCTTTAACCTCATCTCCCTGCGCACACCACTGTGTACAAATATATTACGCATAATTCTTATTGCTGGTGCGTGACGCCCGGCTGTAAAAAGTCCGGAAGGTACTTTACTTTATCAGCGGGTTATCCTTTTTATTATTGTACCTTTATGACGAACAAAACAAAACAGGTTAAATATTATTATTTTACACCTTGTTTGTAAATGGTGTTACAAAAATAAAATAAAATGTCAAATTTCAAGCCCCGTCGACTGTCATATGCCGCAGTCAGTTCGGAATTTCGGAGGTAACGTCGAGTACTTAGGTACGATTTATGTTTGTTCATTCGCGGGTGAAATTCTTTAACAACCTTTTTTGATTCACCGCGGTGTAAATACACCGTCCATATTATAATATACCTAACGATATTCAGACTAAAGATTAATGAAGAAAAAACAAAGTACATGGTGGTCAGTCGGAGAAATGGAAATCAGGTACTAGAAGAATTCATTGAAGTGGAAGAATACAATNATAGGGATAGGTGGCAGTATGTTTATCTAGAGGTATGGTCTTGAATGGCCGAAACCAAGGAAGAAGAAGAAGAACGATATTCATTTGGTTCCAGGGAAGAAAAATTCAAGTCGATTTCTTATAGTCTTCAATAACAAACGAATTAAATTTTGAAAATACATGAATTATATACTAATACACTACATACACTAGTTTTGAAGATATATGCACTCATGCAATTTATGCCAAAAAATAAAAAGAAAAAATTACATTAGGAAAAATTATGCTTAACAAAAAAAAAAAAAAAACCAAAACTTGACTTGAGATCTTCCCTGGGACGAAAGGATCATTGACGCTCAAATATGTATCGATGCTCGATATATTTAATACGTTTTATTATAAAATATAACAGTGCCGCAAATAGGATTTTTTCAGGAAGGCAGGAGGTGGCTTAAGTTATTGACGGCCAAACAATATGGTCGGTAAATTTAGTTCGCGTCGCACTGCTAACAATGTCACATAATTATATGGTTCACCAAAAAGCAGCGCGTTCGCGTCTCGTAACATACAGGAAACCCATCCTTGATACAAGACTTCCAAAATGTTTTACTTTCACACACATTTGTTACACTACTTTTTTGTTTAAAACTAACTCCCATCCTCCTAGCGGAATTCTTCAATAAAGTATATATATATATGTATTATCAAAATGTCGAGTTTTGGGTTATTTTGATTGAACATCGCTCGAATTTAGTAGGAAACAGTTCACTATATACTGTACCCACAGCATAATTTATAAGTACGTTCAATGATAATATTACATTACTTGCTATATATTTTTACGTAACGGGAGGCTTGTTAAATTTTTGAGTAATCTATTTAGTGTTGTTATAGCAGAATAGGTCTTTTGAACGCATGTCATTCTGTACACAGAATTATTTTTACAGACGTACGATGAGTAGTTACAATTTATTAGAGAAAGTGATATAATATAATACAAGACTGGGCAAGCAAATCAATAATATTAACTTAGTTGAGTTCACTGAACAAGGATAACAAATTAAGAGTTAATTTAATTTTTTAACTTAAGTAAATTCATTATTTTGTTAAATTATTATTGTTACAGTGGAAATGATTAAAGTTTTTTATTTATTGAAAATAGAAATGTTAAACACGAGGGTATTATTCCGGAAATATCGAATTACCTATATAAGTGCCTATTTATTTTAAACACACAATATTAACTTAATGTGGTGTAATTCAAACAAACCTAATCCGTTATTCATTAGATTAATGTTAGTTAAAAGTTAAGTTTGTAAAAGGCTATTGTAATATTCCAGTGTATCCGAACCGAATACCACAACGATTATTAGTGGTTATCTATTCAGTAACCACTTCTGTGCCACATCATTACATTTTTATCTATTGATTAATTTGTAGGCAATAATAATTAACACTGTCCCAGCGAAGTCGTGTGTCGTGTCGTGCCGTGCCCCGTTTGTCGTATTCCGATTGGTCTACAATCTACAACGGCCAATCTTGGTCACATCACATTCAATAACCGTAACCTACCGGCTACCGGGAAACTTCCAGAGTTTAACAGAAATTCATTTTTTTTTTCTCTTGGTTGGATTGGGTTATAACGATCAGTTGAGTTTTTTTTTATGTTATCAGCATAATATTTTCCGCTGACACGACACGCACTGCGATGTCTTTGGGAAATAACACATTTGGGTAACAATATTTTAGGTAACTACGTGACGTATTTTATTTTTCAGTATGTTAAGAAGTATGTTATTAATACGGACATACCAACACGGAGTTGATTAGATTCATAAGGGCAACTTCGTAATAGCGATAAAGATATTTCACACCTAACTTTCCGAGATTGTTAATCTAATTGTCGAGTTTAGGGCGAAAAGTCGCATTACATTTTACAAAGAATAGTATTTCATTACGATTATCGAATGATTTTTATTAATATTTTCATTTTTTGATAATACTCGTATGATAAATATCGGTTAAAATTAAGAGCAAATTAAAACTGGATAAACAATGATAATGTTAAAAAAAAAATTCGTAGATCTCATAGTAAACACTCTTCTTTATAAAATGCATAATTGGCCCCTTTGCTCTAAACTAGACCGGAGATTCGTAACCATGGAAATGAGTAATGCCTTTGTTTCTGTGGTATACGCGCGAGATAAACAGAGAAAACAAAATATTATGTTAGTGACAACCACTCGCATTTTACCATTCAGGTAACTATGGTATTAATTGCACGTATAGAATGTAATATACTTCGGTTAATAGGTATAGAATTTATTCATTTATCCCTTTATTATAATATATATACAATTATAGTACGTCTATATGATGGCGTTAAAATTAATACAGTTTGAAATTAAATCGTTTTGAAACTGAAATTTATTTTCGTCATTGTAAACCGATTTAACGGTTTAAAAATCTGGTTCAAAATTGAAACGCTCGCGCTACCCATATAGATTAAGGAATTAAAACCGTTTTAATCTTGCAAGTCGGTTTATCAAAACGAACATAATACGAACGCTTTTTTAAAACCGGATCACTGGAGTACGGATTTTAAAGCAATAATAAAAAAACTAAAGAAAAGCACTAAAAAAAAGCAATAAAGTTGTATACATTTTCCAAAAAAGCATTAAAAATGGGGTTTTTTTTTTAAAAAAAAATTATTTATTAGTTTATTTAAATTATTAAAAAAAAAAGTATAGTAAATTTATTCACAAGTATGCTTTTGAGTAGATAATTTCTAGAGCAAGATCATATTTTTGTGTTTAATGTCGTTTCAAAATAAATCAATCTACTATACACCATACGGTACGTGAAACATTATCTAAATTGCATTTATAAATATATTCATAAATCAAACACAACAAGATAAAATCGATTGAGCCAGTCATGACCTAGGAACATATTATATAATATAAAAAGACGGTTTTGAGAACATATTTTGAAAAAATGTAATTTAAAAGCAAACACAAGTACCCGAACTACTCAAAAAAGCATTAATATACAAAAAAAAACGCTTAAAAGCAAAATAAAATATCTCGCATTTTATTCTAAGTAGTATAGTTCGAATTTTTAGTTGGCTTAGCTTCGTTTTAGAAGAATAGAAAAAAAGGCTAATGCCTTCAAAATCCGTACTCTACTGATCACTTTATCAGTTTTTGTTTATGCGTGGTGTGACGAACAGTTATATTATTATTATACGCGCTGTACTGTTAGGCCCAATGCTGGGCATTTACGAGTTAATAAGTTTGAGTTAAGTTAATTTAACTTTTTAACTTAATTAATTAATTTTTTTAGACTATTAACTTAATTGCTAGCTTGAGGAATACAAAAGAATTAACTTTTAATTAACTAGAGTAAATTTTATATTTAACCAAGTTGAGCTCGATTTTTATTTGTATACTCATATAAACAAATATGTTATTGTTATTATCGATATATTATGAACATTTTGAAACACGAATTGTTGTGAATATCTGTTATTTTTTACCGTTGCCGCAGGTTGGAGGTTGCGGGTAGGTTATTAAGCCATCGTGATGGGTAATAGACAACAACGTGTACATTTTTTTTTTTTTTCAATCAACTTAACTCGAGTTGAAAAATTAATTTTAGCTTTTGGTCGACGTCTAACTCGGTCGAATTGATAGATTACTTCGAATTAATTTTGGTAAGATTTAAATATAACTCGACTGAGTCGAGAAAAAAATAAAATCGTTAACGTGCCCAGCCTTGGATGGATCACGTTCCGATTTCTTATTTGACATTCGGCCAAATATATATAATGCTCGTCTATATTTTAGAATTCAACGTTCAATTTACCTATCAGTAGTATATTCGCCACGATTTTCGAAAATACACCGACGTTTCGTATCGTTAAATCGCCGCGCGGGATATTCGCGAACACCCGATTCGGTTTACGGACCTACGCAGACGGGCGCGTATGTATAATAACCGGAGTATTACCAGGCTGAACCGCGTCGAAAAATTTAAAAACGATTTATATTTCAAAACCGTTTGACCGCCGCGGCCGTTTCATTCAACGTACGACACGACAACGACGTTACAATTTGTCTACGGTTTGAATATACGTCATCGAAACGGCGAACGAACGACGCGTTTTATTCGACGACGATTTCGGTTTTTTTTAGAACGATGCGCCGAACAATAATCGTCGGATGATGCCTAATGCGTTATTACTACGTGCACGTTATTATGGGCACCGAATGTGATACTACCCCACCTACTACTTGACAAGGTTTTAGTTCGCGTTACATTTGTTTTTGGCCGTGAAAATTAAAACACCGCGTAAAGCATTTTCACCCGTACACCGATAGAATTTAAACATATACACTTAAATATATTTTAACAATATTTCTCGTGTTAAAAGTCAATAACATCACACGTCGTATTGTGTGCATTTTTTTTTTCTTTTTTTTTTTTCTTTTTATTGAAAGCCGCTTTGTTTTAGATTCCGAGTGCAGCGAAGGGGACCCATACTGGTTTTACAACGGAGCATTTTATTTTTCTTCTATGTGACATTTTTTGCCGGACTGAAGTGTTCCGAAAGTTTTCCACTGTATCAAGCAAAACGGGTATATAGGGTGCTTTCTATGGTTTTCTATTGATTGGTAAAAGAATAGGCATCGTTTGATGAGATGATTTTTTTTTTTTTTTTTTTAATTACAATGTTTACTTCCTGGAATAATCTATTGCTTTCAACATGAATATATATACATAAAAAAAATACTACATTCGCTCAACTTTTTTCTTTTTTTTGTTTTCACCACTTATTATAACTTACGATACGATGAACCTCGTGTTTAATTTTAGTGAATTTATTTTTTTTTTAACCGAAACAATTTTATCCGCTTATACCAAATGAAAACTTTAAACTGAAATTTTCAAATATTTAAGGGTATAGCTCAAAAATCGCTGAAATGTTCAAAACATTTCACCACGTTTAGAAAAAACTCCATTATCCATGATGATCCATGAATTATCCATGATAATTTCCGGTGTTTACGATTACTTTTAACGTTATTTTTTTGAAAAAAAAAAAAAAATTACAAAATCGAACACAATCCACAATTGCGAACAATTTCCCGTTATTCCGTTTTCCCTAATAATAGTAAAACTACCAGGGGAACCAAAAAACAAAGTTCTTACCAATGCACCAATTTAGATCCCATTTGATTTCATAAAAGTTGCTGTAGTAAAAAATTGGAGAGTTTTGGAGTTTTCGATGTTTGATAGCAGATAGAAAAAAGAATAAAAAGAATATATAAAAAAAAAAAAAAAAACCATTAAAAATTAACGGAAAAACCAATACATTACTCGCTGCGCTTAGAATTTAAAACACTTATTAAAGACTTTCTTAAAATATTGTATAATGAATTTGTTTTCAAAAAAAAAAAAAATTATTTTTTCTCGAGTAAAACCATTCTATCCTTAAATATTTCATAAAGCTTTTTCATTATACGGAACATACAATACACTCTGCATCGCTTACATTATCTAAATATTTCCAGAGCAATAAATAAAATCTTAAGAAAAAAAATGAACTGTAAAATGCAATACGAAAAGTTTTTTTAGTATTTCCAACCATCTAGAATTTTAGTAAGTTAAAAGTACATGTTTTCTTTCACGATCTACAATTGTATGAATAGAACATTTTTTCTGAGCGGTCTTTATAATAATCGGAAAGAAACATTGGAAAAACGGTAAAATATACACCAATAATGCTTTCATTATTTTTAGTTTTATATTTTGGTTGTAATTCAGTTAAAACTATTCGTAGGGGACTTTTGGACAGAAAACATGTTTGCCTTTCCTGGACGTGATAAAATTTTCAAACCATTTGTGCCATTCTAAACTATTTATAGACATTTTAATTTTTGCGAGTTTTTTACGTCATTTTTGTTCGGTAGGTACTCTATGGATAAAACTGTTAGGCTAAACAGAAGTGCATGCCAATTTAACAAGAGGTTCATTTTAGGTCGTACTTTATGTAAGAAAAGAAAAATTCAGTTTAATGTAGTAATTTTTTTTTTTTATAAGAATTTTCATATCAATTAATTTTTACAAAAATCGTAAATATTTCGGCGTTTTAAAACATGTAAAATCGAACTTGGCTCCGAATCGTTTTTCGTTAGTTATGGTTTTTCGTTGCGTAGAGACATAAATTAAATTCCTCTTTTTATTCTATTTTCCCTTCTACTCACCTTCAACGTTGTCGATTTATTATTTCACTTGTACAGTTTTCTAATTAATTGGAAAAAAACGTCAGAAAAACAAAAATATTTTTGGAAATATTTACGCTCTAACGGTCACTGTCATTTGCGATCTCGTATTCAGACTATTTTCGAGTGGCACTTGACATTTTCGAGTTTTTTAAATTTTATTAGTTTTTCAGTTTCTCGAAATACTTAAAAGTTTAAAAATAAGGTCTTTGGTACTATAAAAATGTAAGAAATCCGTATATATATATTTTTTTTTAAGAGCATTGAAACTTTTCAAATTAAAATTTTCAAGAAATTCGGCGTAGTAGACACCTATTATTTGCCGATGTATACAACTTGTGTGGATTTATGAAAACGTCCGAAAATTCGAGACGGACACAAAAACGGCCGATAATTTATTGTAATTCATTTCGTTAGTAATTACAAATTGGTACGGTTTTCATTTCAAGTCTGTCAAAACATTAACGAAACCGAACTTCGTTCAGAAACGTTTCGCGCCACCAATAATATTATGCGCATCGTTGCGTACAGATATCATATAAATTAAATTATCCCATACAACGTTCCGTCTTCCGGACTTCCCTCCTACGACAATAATAGCCCGTACATACAAACAGCATCCTGTACTTGGAGCGCGCATGTGTAGCGACTATGTACAAAACGCCCGCAATGTTTTGGGGGGTTTTTTTTTTTGTTTTTTTATATATAGATGTATATATATATATATATACATGGATATTTTTTTAAAATTCGAAACGGAACCAGAAGGCCATTAGGGTAACAACAATACATCGCGTATTTATTTTCTTTTGTCGATACATTTCGAGGGAGGGCAAACGCTCACGCGAGTTTCTCGTGTGCGGAGAGGGGGGGGGGTATTTATAGACATATGATATTTATACGGACATAGATGTTGCTGCACTATATAAGCCGGCCCTATTTCGGCTATCCCGATAATTTGAACGCGAATACCAGAAAATGCAAAGTATATAAAAAAAAAAAAAAAAAAAAAAAACAAAAAAAACAAAACAAACGAAAATAATTATAATATTATACACGCGCAAGTTTCGAGTTCAAATTCTGAGCCGTACTCAGAATATTGTATTATTTGTATCGAGTGGCTATTATAATGTTTTATATTACCGCGTCCGTATTTTGAAATGTATACAAAAATTAACTTCGCGCTATACTTGCGTAAAAGTGATTGACGCGAGACCGGTGATCCCACGGTATTTGGTCGTAATTTATTATTGAACGCGGTAAGCTGAACACTTCAGTCTGTTTAGACTGTATTATGTTTGCGTGTGTGCTGTATGTATGTATATAAAAAAAAAAAAAAATAATAATAATAATAATAATAATAATATCGTTACATAATTGATACTGCCCACCGGTAAAGGCCACTGGTGTAGTTGTATAGGCAGGATATACGAGGGAATTTATTTCGTATTACACTGGACGAACCCATTGATGATCGCTAACGAAAAAACGATTCTGACATTAGTAGTATTAATCTTCTGAGAAATCGAAAAAGTGTTTTCCGAGAAAACTCATCGAGTATTTCAATAAATGTTTCGCTTTCAAAAACATTTTCCATTAAACGATCCTCGGGGGAGAAAACGATATTGAATGAAATAAACTGAGCATTTCCACTAACGGAAAAAAGTGTTTCTCAAGAGAGGGGAAAAGAAACACACACACAAACACATCTCAGTGAACCTAATACCTTCTCTCCGCTACACTCAGAATCTAAAATTACAACAAATAAAGTCAATATTATATAATAATTGTATACGATTACCACGAAATCCCTACCGTAGGAACATACTATAGTGTAATACCGGTCTCTACCCACGCTGCCGTCTACCTAACACTGAATATTATGGCGAAATAATAAATTGATTGTCTTAATGTAATCTAAAATCAATTAATTTCTCAGATGACGCGTAGGTGTAACCATAGGATGTTAAAAGTTACTGGAACTTGGCTGGCGGATCGCCACCTCTCCTTTGGTCGTTAAAATACCTATTACTAATCCGTGATTTTTAATTTACTGAATAAACATTTACAGGGGTTAAGCTCCCAACCCTCGCAAATTAGAACAGTGCCGGTTGTAATTATTAATTTGAATGTTACTATACCTTTTTCATCGTATCTCTGGATGTTTTATTATTTATCCGTTCCAGTTTCGATCAATTAAAGAACGATGCGCCAGTTTAAAACTGATGGATTTCAAGATGACAAGTTTTATTGCATTCTTTCTGACAAACAGTAGCTATACTTAAATGTTGTTTTTTTTTTTCAAACACTTTAACACATTAAGGACTGTTTGAAGGTTTAACTGATATAATGAGTTATAAAAATTAGGAATAGAATTATGGTTTTTATATTCACGTTCAGAAGAAAATTTGTCTAAAAAAACGTCGTTTCTATGATAATAATTTCTTTTACTAATGTATAGTGAAGAATGCAAAATATTCGTAATAAATATCACAATTTCTAGTTTTTATTTTAAATTCATACCAGCGTTTTAGTTTCATTGAATCCATAATTATAAAAGTTGATCAATCCGCTCTACTATTTTGTAATTTATGTTACCAAATTAGTTATTTTCATTTTTCTAACAAATATTTACCGATTTTAAATATAATAATAGAACATTAGCCAGAGGACATTTTTTTTAATTTTGAGTAAAAAATATTGTAATTTAATCTTGAATTTAATTTGATCAGCGATTGGAGTTCAAATGTATATGAAATTGCGAAAAAAATAATACCATATTACACGAATAATTTGACAATACTGTTATCTGCCCATCATGTTAGTCCACTCCCGTAACAAAAACTATCCCAAAAGTTAATGACCGGACTAAGATAAGTTGGTAGAAATGTTGTTCACGAAAATCCATATCATCAGGACTAGATTAAGGACGGAGCCTATAAGGCTTCAGGCCCTGAAATACCGAAGGTACTTTTTACTCAAAAAAAATGTATAATATTCTAAGTTTTTATTGAAGATTTCAAAATCCGAATTTTATTTGTTTAATACGTTTTATTTATATTTGGCTGGATGATAATATTCATAGGTATCTTATGTAATTCAGATAACTTTGCCTCAGTCTTCTTTAATCATTGGCCTATTATATTAACCCATTAATAATTATTGTAAAATGAAAAACGTAGGTGTTTACTACTGATACAGCCCCTTATAAATAATTTTTTTCTTCGGACTTTTAGACTATTGGTTTCCAAGATTACTTCCTTCCATTCCGTTCTCTATCGAACGCCTCTTCTAGTCCACTCCAATTTCTCCCAATATAGTATTTCGTTGACGCTATTCTTCCACTTATTTCTACGGTCTTCCTCTTGGTCTCTTTTTACTGTTCATGTATTTTGCTCATTGCACATACGACCATTGCTCCTTTCAAAATATTCCCATGCCTATTCATTCTATCCTTGCTCTTCTTTTGTATGACTAATACAGTTGGGCGTTTGCTCACATTTCCTATTTATCTTCCGTATTGTTGAATTTGAGTCCATTTATTTTTCTAAGAACTTTTCTTTCAAAAAGACGTAGTTTTTCTTCATCATCTTTCGTCTTTTCCCGTGTGACACATTCTTATTTCAATTCAGGCTGGATATAATTTATATATACCAGTAGATGTTCTTTTATTTTCCTTCACAACAACATGGATTTAAAGAGGGTTTTCAGTGCATAAGGTATTTGTTAACAGCACCTAACCTGAAATTGATTTCTCCTAGTATGTTGTCTTGGCCAACGCATTTGAGTTCTTTTAATTGTTCAATTGCACTATTTCCCACTTGTCTGCATATTCTAGTAGGATATTTCTTCATCAAGGTTTAATATTTCAATTCGTGGTATTTTCGTTATTACATTCTCCAGTGCCATATTGAAGAGCACTGGAGACATCGCATCTCCTTGATACAATCCCATATTAATCAAAAAGATGATATCTCGTCGTTCCTCTTAACTCGACTTCTGATCTTCTGGTTACACTACTGTATCATGTTAATTATTTTAGCTGGCAAACCAAAATTTCAGTCATATATATATATAATACAAATTATTGTTATTTATTAGATGCGATCATGTATGTATGATGTACTCGCATCGATAGCCACATCAATGACCATACGAAACTACAGAGGAGTTTTAAAAAGATAAGATAAAAGCAATTTAAATTATAAAATTAGCAATAAACTATTGTATTTTTACATTCATAACCCAATAATGTATATAGTGAAAACTAACTGTCTTAAAATACAACTAAAATTTTAAAAATGTTCAAACATTACTATTCTGTACAATAATTTCATTTGTATCAGTTTTTTTTTTAAAAACCTATACAGTTGAGTTATTGGTAATAGCTGAAGAGCCCATTGAACTATGGATTATGGAACCCGGGGAAACTTTTAATCCGGTTCTGCATAGTATAGTAATGTACATATTCATCGTTACGTTCAGAATCCAAAAAAAAAACTCGTACATCATAGTAAAAACAAGGTACATTCCTCCCCACTAGACGCTATTACGTTCAAAATCTAAAGACATGTCACACATTGACGCGGTTTATAACAAGCACGCGAATTTCCTCCGCCCCCTTAACATGATCTATATAGGGACGAAATTAAAATTCATATTATTACTATCCACACTTAAGCAGTATCGGTAAAAGTCGTAACCGGTGATCGAATGATATAAAAATATGTCGACATGTAGGATTTTAGGGTATAATATGTTCAATATAACACAGTTCAGTTGAATTTTTCCAACAGGCAGGCGTGTATATAAAAATACGAACGACTTATATTTTATTTTATAATGAATTACCTACTCAAACATGTCGAACATATATATTGCACCAATTAATCACATAAATTATGGGTTTTTAAAATGAAATTTCTGTTCGAAAACTCGATGACAAATACATACTGTTATCGTGAATGCACGTGATAATAGGTAAAAATGTATAGCTTATTTTGTACAATCGTTTGAAAGATTTGTTTCCGAAATCCTACAAGAATTATAGCCATTCTTTAACTTCAAATACGATGCTGATCAATAATCTTAATACAATTTTAACTTTGTTAATATCAGGTATAATTTTTTTAAAAAATTTGATTTACAAAACCGGTAACCCAGCAAAACTCGAAAGTCGTGTTTTTTCGTTTTTATAAATAGGGTAATTTTTTATTAAAAAAAAAAATAATAATAATTTTGTCTCAGTATAATATATTTTTCTGATAATACTGAGGTGTATGTATGCATAATTAATATTTTCTTTAATTAGAAACCAATTATACAAACTTTAGCTCTGAATTATTTATATTGCACAGACAATTCTCAATCTTTATACAAATTAATTGTGAGTAAACGTGTCAAAGGAAGCAATTGTTATTTTCATTTCATTTCCAATTCGCGTTGCTCCCGGTTGAAGGACATTCGATGGTGATACCACTTCACAACAGAATTATTTATGAATATTGAATATAATATATATTATTTATTAATTATTACTGAAATGGTATATTTTTGTCATCGATGGTTTTTAATGTGCGGTAAAACACGTGGCCGAATCGATAGTGTTTGTTCGCGGACGGGAATATTTAAATATTTAATTATTTTACGTATACATGATAAACGCTGCTGATTGATGCTATTTTTATGATACGAATGTATCTCGTATTCGAATAATATTATATGATCAAACATTACTAAAAATACTAAACAATATGTATCAGTTATATAAAATAAATAATACGAGTTGAAGCTGAGTTTCACGAGAAAAAAATTAATGAAGTCACTCGAGGAACTCTTCAAAAACCTAGTGGGGATGTTCTAATTTTTCTTCGAGTGGTACCCAATTACACTCGACTGAAATAGTAGGTAGGTACTGTGTTCAAAGTTTTACCCGGAAAGACTAATATATATGTATAGGTACTTTGACATTAAGTTACGTGCACGTATTTTATCGAAGTAATTAATTGAAACACCTCGATAGCTGCTGAATAGCGAATTTAATTATTACTTATTATATTATATTATTACGTGGTTATATAATATAATATTGGGTACCTATAGACTGAATTAGTAATAAAAAATAAAACGTGTCTTTATACTTATATTGTACAAGTATACAGGATGATACCGATCCTCGATAAGACACTCGTTATCTCGAAAAGTATGAACTATTTTCAAAATTTGTTATACAATTTAAAAAGAAACATTTCCATTATTTTTGATTTCATTAATAATGATTAACTAATTTTGATTTTCAAATGCGCTCTGTATTCGAAATTCCCTAATCAGATAATGTTAATTTAAATAGGTTCCGGGAATTGGAATTGTTGACTTCTGTCAACCCGTAGACAAAATATTCCATTTTTAAGTTTTTGTAGAGGGAGAGTAACTTAATTTTAAACTAAGGTTAACTATAGGTAATCTAAAAAAAAATCCTGAACAAAATCAATACTCTCGAGATAATTAGTGTCTTATCAAAGATTGATAATTTGTTCATAGATGAGAGGACGAGCTACCTCCCGTATTTAAGGAATTTTCATGAAATGTTATCAACTTAAAAATATTCAAACACATTTAAAATTATACTTAACTAATACCTATACAACTTTTGATTTTTGCATCTAATCATTGCTGTTTGGAAAAAATATTGTTATTATTTTGTTCGTGTCATTATCATAAGAATTTATTAACGGTGAAATTAACATTAACGTTCACGAATAACGGTTTCACATAGAGGCGAAAATACTCGAGCTATGAACTTAATTAAGAAATTGAATGTTCATCATAAAAAAAGAGGACTCGCGCCGTGGAACGTTTGTTTTAGTTCTGTGATATCGCTATTACGGAAAACGCCATTCGAGTTCGATAACCTTAAAATTATTTGGTTTATAAACAATAACATTTTTGGTATTTTTAATGGCGAAAAATAAAACCAACGTTGAACTATAAAAGTTCTTTTTTTTTTCTACAGTGAAAATTTGATTTCTTAATTAAGTTCATAACCCCATGGAGTTTTTCGCCTCGCAAAACGGTTTTTACAGTCTATTTGGGCGAAACACGTGTGGACCAGGAACGTTTGGGCCATTAATGAAACTGCAACCCGTTTGAAGCAGGATTTAGTGAGCCCGTTTAGACCAATACTTTTGAATTCCTTTAAAAGCTCTCTAAATAAACGTTCAATTAAACTACGAAAACTAATTTTTAAATTAAGTAATATAATAATATTAAGATTTACATACAATTTCTGTGTATCAATTCAGTTTTCAAACATATCAAAATCCAGTTATATTAAATGTTTACCTATAGGTATCTATTAGCTTTATATAATAGCTTTATATGTGTGTATGTCTTATGTACGATAAGACAACACAGATAAAATACTACTACAGAAAGGCTCGCTAAATAAACGTTCAGTTAAACTAATATAAGGAAAATTCTGGTCCAAACGGACTGAATAAAAGTAGTAATTTTTAGCCCAAACGAGTCCTCAAAATTGGTCCAAACGGGTCCTGCCGGCCTATTTACGGGGGATGGCACGCCCTATTTACAAAATGAAATATTTTCGTTCATTTAATATACTTACCTGATAATACTCAAACATTAATTTTATAAACAACAAATTATCGTGACAATTATGAGTTTACTTCGATGTAAACTAACACGTTTTCATTTTATATTATTTTGCGCAGTGGGGTAACAAGGATTTCAGGAGTAACAAAATCAAATTTAAAATTTCACGTATATCTGTGATATTAATTTTGTTAATTACATTTAGAAATACACTATATCTTCATCCATGGAATACGATAACAAAACACATATACGGTACACACACTATGGTTACTCTATGGAGTAACAGAATATTTCGATATTCCGTTACTCATTGCATTGATTATAATTAAAACATTTAAAAAAATACGGCCGATGGAGGGAACCGGGACCACGGCTCCGCTTCACTTCCCTCTCTCCCTGACTACGTCGCTAGTTTTCCATACACAGTAAATACCTAATTCAAATTTTTTTTTTTTTTGTTCATTTATCTGAATAAATTTTAAAAGTACTTATAATTATATTTTATTAAAAAATATCCACGATTTTTTTTTATCCAGACTACGCTACCGCTCGGTATACAAGATCGACTCATATATTTAAATCTTATCATTATTCAAACTTTCTAATTTGTACTATATTTTAATATTATATATAGTCTGTGGCTTATAGTTGAACTTCTACGAAATATAGTTTCGAGTATAATAAATATGTTTATCACTTACGTATGCAAATTAAATATAATATATTCTTTATTTGGGCACACATTAAAAATGGAATTATGATTACGTTCTTGTTTTGCTTCAAAGTTAATTAGTTTAAAACATTATTATATTTAACGAAATACGTTTTTGAAATAGACAACCGTGCCGTTTAAAAATTATACTTATTAAAAGAAAATGTCGGTGTTCAAGGATTTCTATTAATTATTATCTATATTAAAGTCGACCATCTAGAAGAAATCGATTAATTATAGGGCGTACAGTTTAATTTTCTTAACATACTAAAATATCTGATATTTAAAGCTGAACAGTTAGTTCAGAAATAGTTCAAAGGTTTATGAATTATTTTTAACAAATTAATTTAAAAAGTTATAAATTACTTATTTGATAAATTTTGATTTGATTAGCTGAAAAAGAAAAGTCTCAAGTCATTTTTCGATCGGGACAAGATTTATTGTAAAAAAAAAGTCGTTTACAGGTACAAAAACAAAAACATACAATATAGTAAAATTGTTACATTCCTCGTTACGCTTAAAATCCAAAATAGAATGATAAAAAAACAACTCGGTTGTTTTGTTGAAATTTAACTTGTTTCTAAAAAATATATTTACGAATTGTCAAAAAAAAAAAAAAAAAACCTATGTATCAATGTTTTTTGCATTTAAATCCACGCGAGTCTTATAGTATAGGTAGGTATAGTCTATAAAAATCTGGATATACTCTACAAAATACTCGTTTATGAGCGGGAAAAAAAGTAACTTTTAAGTCAATTAACAAACGTATCATTTTCCTAAAAATTTATATTTCAAAATCGACTTAACTTAGTTATTATTATTATTATTTATTAATTTTTTATCGGATAGCTCGTCAAGTAGTCGATAAAAACCGATTGATTTTTGAATTAATACCCTAACGGCTGTTACATTATTGAGGTAGTAACTACACGGTGTTATTGGCGAGTTTCTCGCCGTCGACGAAAATATTCTACAATACATTGTCTATGTTTTACAGCTACAATATGATATTTTATTGTTAAGAACGTTCGTATATCATATTGTTGAAATACAAATACATACGCGCACCGCCGCCGATGTGGTTTCAGACGATTTTCGTTTCGGGGCTGATAAAAAATTCACTATACAAACGGTACGCGAGGAAGGAATAATTTTCTTAGTTTACACACGCAATATCGCGCAAAGGTATAGGTTGACACTTTGTATGAAATATATACTAGCCCGGCGACGACTTACGCGGAATATAATATTCGCTTAGTGAATTAATCATAATAGTTATATAGAGCAAACATCTCTAATATCACGGATACGGGTTTCCGTTTTTGAAATATTAAATTCCGCACGCATATTTTTCGGCGGTTTCGAAATAACTCGTGCGATATTGTATCGTCGGTGTTCCAAACGTTCGAATGTTTGTTTTAATATACACGCGCGCGGAGTTTGAACGTCGGAAAATCAAATTAAAATAACAAAATGTTATTTTCCAAAATTATTTTTAGTACAGTTCCTATTCGTTCCCGAAAATTTCGATAAAGGAGTAGGTAACTTTACACAATGCTTTTAAACTAAATATTATAATATGATATTTACAAGAAACATCAAAAAAAAAAAAAAAAAAAAAACATTTTCATTTGCTACTCTAAAGATCGCACCGTTTATATACAAATATAAGATAAAATACAGTAAATCAGATACCCAGTAATAATTACAATACTAAAAATTAAAACAAATACGTTTAATTTTAATTGATAAATAACTGGAGTGAATAATTTATATTGTATTTTTCAGAACCAAAATGCTTTAAAATTTAACACGAGGTTTGTCGTAATTTTGATTCGATGCGAAAAAAATACACAGGGAAACGTAGTCTTGATAAGATGTATTTTAAATATAAATTTCGATGAAAACCGTAAAAACCGTGACATTTCAAAACGTGTTTAATTGAATTTCGATTAGAATCGTGTTTCGTCCGCAACGGTTTACCGTCGCGTACATATATGAATTGAACGTGCTATCCTATTTTCCAAACTTTTCACCTGCGACAGCACGTCAGCGGTGTCGGCTGTTTTACAAACACTTTACGTCTCGTTTCGTTTCCCAACCCGTCGTACGGGCACTGTATCATAATATACGCCGCAGTATACGCGCGTCACGAGTATTATTGACACCGTTATCATGTTAAGTGTTAAAAAAAAAAAAAAAAAAAAAAAGAAAAGAAAACCGTTCTAGAGTTTGTATAACAACGCCGATAACGCCGAAAAATATAGTCGCTGTGTACGGGCCGACTACAAAGACTTTTTCTTTCACTTGATTTATGTGAAAATGGGAAAAAAAATGACATATATATATATATATACATACAGGGTAGGTCACGGAGATCTGACAAACGCAATAACTTTTGTTCTGTTTAACATTTTCAAGTTGTTGTTTTTTTTTTTTTTTTTTTTTTTTTTTTTTACAAAATCCGAGATAACCGTTTTATATATTTCTATTTCAAAAAGCAATTTTGACGTAACAAATGTTTATCCATCTAAAAGTAACAATTCGAATATAATGTGTACAAAAATGATAATTGTGTAATAATTTTCGAGCGAAAAACCCGCAAGTCGAACCTGTGGTTCGCCTATCCAGTTTAAGACTGCAACGACTCAAAATAGGAATTTTTTCAGGGGAGTGATTTAACAATTTTACGAATATTACGTCAAACATAAAACAAGAAATAAATTAGATATTAATGAAATTCTCGGTATAACCAAACCTAACCTAACCCGTTAGCCTTATTCATATTATGTAAATACACGAATTAATAATCGCCATAAGTCTACTCGATCCACTTTAGAACTGGATAGTATGTTAATCGAAATTTGTTATTCTAAAACGGAATAGGAGCACTAATATTAGTGCTCAATATTTATAGCCAATTTTTATCGAGTTCCTGAATTGAAATTGTTTCGAAAAACAGAAAATAATGCCGTAGTAACTAATTTTTGAGCCGCTGCAGTCTTTAACCGGCGAGTAGAATTGAATGTTCAGTGAACTAATACGATGTTTAAACCGTCATCGTAGTAAAGTTTGAAAAAAATAAAAAAAAAAACCCCGGGGACAATATCGCCCGTCGACTCGTCGTTTTAGTTAAACTCTAGTGTAATAATAGTTACAAAGAAAACAAAGAAAACAAAAAAAACAAAAAAAAAAAAAAACAAAACTTAAAAATATCGAACGGATATCGTATTCGAGTTTATAGCGTTTCGTCAGATTTCCGTGTGCGCTACACCCTGTGTACGTATCACACATATAAAATATAAATACATAATATATAACCTAACCTATGAGTTTTTATTTATTTTCATCATAGCGATATTATCGCGTGTTGTTGCGTTTGCATTTGCGAACGAAAATAAAATAAAATAAAATAAAAAAAAAAAAAAAAAAAAAAAAAAAAAAACACCAATATACCAATATAACATAATATTATATACATACGTGTCTACACGTCGTCGCGAGCGCGTCTGGCTGACTGGATTTTGACGGGACGGCGCGCCAGTTTCAACGTCTGTTCAATAATTTACTCGGATTCCCTTTTTATATTATTATTATTATTATTATTACATACACACACACACACACACACACACACATACATATATATATGCGATATCGTATCGTAGGCGTTTGCACGCGCATTATACAGACATTGCACTAGCGCGGGGGAGTTTGCGAGTGGATTATTGAAATTGTATACATTATAATATGTGTATATGTTATAAAAATAGCGACGAGAGAACTCTACCTTTAAAGCGTAATCCTCATCTCCTCCTCCACCCCGTTTCTCCCCTCTACTCCCCCCCCACCACCACCGGTAGGTGTATTTTCGCAGCGCGCACAGAGAGAGAGTTTTAACGGCGGCACCGTGAATTTATGTGCATAATTTAAGTTTGAGTTTATCATTGAATAATACGAGTGCCCGCATATTATACGCGCGTGTAGTATTTATTATAATAACGATATTGCCGGCGTTTCGCGATATTAGTCGAAAATTAAGAAGAACAACGTGTACGCCACGCCGTAACGTATAATAATATGTTGCCGTTAAAATATTATTACACGCACACCTAGGCGCGATGTTCGGATAATCTTATCGATCGCCGAGACGGGTTTGTGTGTTTTTGCGATATTGATAAGAGAACACCTCTGCTTCAGTCAAACTTACTACCGGGTAACATACAAAAAACGTAAAGTAAAAAAAGACGTATTATGAAATTTATAGAGAACAATATTTAGGAGGGAACGTCATACCTAGGTGTTTTTTGAATTATAAACTATATTTTCGGTTATCTAGAAGAAAAAAAGGGTTTTTTTTTTATCTGTTATGTATCGAGATGTATATTTAAAATAATGCAAAAGCTTTTGACATGCCCTCCAAAATAATGTTCTCTATACGTTCCATAATTGGTACTTTTACTCTAAAGTCAAAATTAAGTTAGTTTTACTTATTCTGCGTAAGCATTATTCGTACATGTTACCGGGTTCGTTAGAACCGAGACAGATGCGGGTATCACTTTTAATATTGTCAGGGGCCGCTACTTGTATTGCCGAATATGGGCCAATGAAAAATACTGATATTGGCCATTTACATAAACGCGAATATTCCATGTTGATAAAAAAATACAATAATATTGTATTTATTATTTTAATTTAATTTAAATCATAATAAATTATCATTATGTGATTACTAAATTACTATCACTGGTGTTTATTTTGGAATTTGAATATTATTTTTGAGTTTGACTCACAGCTGTTGTCATCAACTAATATACCTAATTAAAATACACACTTAATACAATAATTTACACCAGTTTTAAATAAATAACTACAGCTTTTATTAATTTATTATTATTTAAAAAATTATAATTATTATTGGATAATATTTACAAATGTACATATACTTTACAGTCACGTACATTTCCCAGCCCCCCAATTTTAAAATATGACATTCTTCTTAGCCCAATCGTTTATATCCCATTAGTATTGGATAGCAGAACAAAGTACCTAACCTAACCTGTACCGTACAGTATTTAAGTGGACATATTTTTACGTATTTTCCGTTATTAATCGAATAAAATTTAATAACAATTCTTTTTTAAATACCTACAATTACTCGAAATAGACCGGGAAGGAAGGATAATGATAAGCGTGGGCATGGGAGAGGCCTCCCGTGCGAGATTTTCCACCAAAATGTTCTTTAAACGAATATGTTAAACATACGTCTTTTTTAAAAAATATTAAACCCTAAGTTACTCTTAATTTATGCATTGGCGCAAAAAGAGGAAGTGCTTTTAGAGGATTTTGCCTCCTCCCTTAAATATTCTACTGAGCCTCCTAAAATAAAGTCATCATCAAATAAATATTATATGGGGTAGGCAATTTTTTTGTTGAATCTTGGATACGATCATGTGAACCGCTAAATTCTATTTTTCTCGGGCCGTTCAGATCATGCCGATCCACCCCTGAATATTATTATCGAGAGGCCATGTTTTACTCGCACCGGCACCGTCTCCGGCTTTTATGAACTGACCGCCTATACGCAGAGGCTGTGGCGCCGAAACTAGCAGTCATATGTGGCGGTCGCCACTGTTCTTTTAACGGGCGAGTGGTTGTAGTGATGGGTACTCGAGCCATATTTTTGATCGAATTGGTACGTACGGAATATCAATTAAGAGTGTTGTATTGGAGTTTGTTTTGTAAACGAGCGTGATTGTTTATACGACTTTTTACCCACCCGTCTTTTTAAAACACGGTTCGACGCTATTGCGTAGATGTGGCTCTAAACACTTGGTTGAGGGTGGACTAGGTCATATTTTTTCAGAAAACCGTTTAACGAGAAGCATATTTTATATTTTAGTTTATTTTTATTTCATAGTATAAATAGTATAATAGTAGATACCTCACGTCAACTACACATCACTTGTACAAACTGTCTGTAATATTCGATAGTATAATATGTTTTGTAAAAATTACGTACATGAGGAGGGGAGCGGCCCCTGGGCTCTCACTGGAACCATCTTTGCCTATACGACGACGAAGTAGAGAATTCGCGTTTTTCGACGAGCACAGCTCTCTTCACTGTTATAGTTTTGAAATCGGAACGACTTATTGACAATTGGCGTTTCGAATGCTTTGTTTTAAACGATTGTTTGAAACTTTTTTAAACAATATCCCTATCCGTTTAAAACGTTTTAAATGATCGGAAATGAAAATACAAATCAAATGACTATAATTACGTTTCAAAGTCTGCGGACTCTTTATATTCACAAGCGGTTCCTAGTGGTTTTGAAAATATAAACTACTACTAGCTGTCCCGCGCCCGGCATTGCCCGTGTCAGAATTGAATGAAAACAAATAGATGAAAAGTAGGTAGTCCACCTTTGGCGGACTAAATGTATTCTATTGTGAAATTATAAAAGTAATAGTAGTAATTATAATAGTTTTCTTATCCGTAACACCAAGGTTACCCTTGAATTAACAAAAATAAATAAATAAGCAATTAGATATTCATATTAGTTATACCTAAAAACCCCTATTTTACCCCTTAGGGGTTGAATTTTGAAAATCCTTTCTTAGCGGATGTCTAAGTCATAATAGCTATCTGTGCTCCAAATTTTAGCCCGATCCGTCCAGTGGTTTGGGCTAGGCGATGATAAATCAGTCAGGACATGTTATTAAAATGTTATTTTTTATATATATAGAGCTGACCCATGTCCACTTCGTTGAGCGGTAAACATTTTTACTTGTGATGAAATTACGAGTGTGGTTCGGTTAGTACTGAGCGCTATGATTTATTTTCCGACTATTAAAAAGAGGGTTATATTTTTACTGCATATTTACGTATGTATTTGCATGCCAATTTGGCTATATAACCGGGTTTCAAATTAGTGAATGAAATGATTATGATTGAATAAATTATGTTTATTAATCGTGGGTCGGCACGAATAACGTGCTATGATTAAATCTGTAAAATCGTAAAATTCCCAGAATGTTCCTGCAATTTATTTCTAAATAGATTGACGTGTTGTAAAACCGTCTAATAGAAACATCACTTAATAGATTACGACACGGTCGCGGTTCCATACCTGAGTCGTATTGTCTCTTTTAGCATTCGTCAACATTATATGCAGTAAAAGGGAAAATTCCTTTGTTTTAAACACTTGAGACGATAAGTTTAGTTATTTTGATAAGAATTCATCATTTCGTGATTTAAAAATTTTTAATATGACCAATAAACATGACCTGTCGATTTAAATTATTTTTTAATGTAAAAAACTACTTTATGTGACTTAAATATAAAAGTTAGACATATGCTGTCGCTGACTTCTTTGTAGGTATTGTCAAAGTCTACAACTTTTCTCTAGAACTCAATCATATGTCTTTCATTGTTAAGACAGCGTTCGTAAGAAACGTTTTCGTTCGATCGGTTTTTCTCCGACTTACTGTGCATATCCGCGACTACCACAAAAAAGTTTTCATTTTTCAGGTTAATATATAGCCTATGACACTCACAAATAATGTGGCTTTCTATTGGTAAACGAATTTTCAAAATCGATTCAGTAGATCCAGAGATTACCCCCTACGACCTCACAAACTCACAAACTTTACCTTTTTATAATAATATAGTATAGGTTACCATTACTAAAAAATTAAATTTTTTTAAATTACTATTACTATTACATTCGCTCCAATCAAAAACTTTATGAAAACATTTTTCTCATAGATAGAATTTGTAATCTAGTTGGTACATTGAGAAGCCCGTTCGTTTTAGTTTCCTTGTAGTTTTCAAAATAAATGAAAAAATCCGACAATGTATAATATTTGTTGATTTCTGGATGACTTTTGAAACGAAATAAATAATACAATTCTATGCTCAGAATTGTTTTATCGTTACATAAAATGTAATAATAATAATATTTTTATTTTATTTTTTTTTTTTGCGACCAAATGTCCCTCGCGTCCATGTGGCAGCGTCTAAACGGCGAAGTCCAAACGGCGGCGTCCATTTGTCCTAGAACCCTGCACAAGGCAAATTTGCAANAAACATTTTTCTCATAGATAGAATTTGTAATCTAGTTGGTACATTGAGAAGCCCGTTCGTTTTAGTCTACATCCAAGTCGACGACACCGGACTGTATCGCGCTTTTGAGAAATGCGCGGTAATAATATTATTTTGCGCCCGTTTGTTTATTGAAACGGCCACAATTATTACACAAATCGCATAAAGGTAGGACGCCTAAGTATATTGTGTACATATACATGCGAGCGAAAGGTGTACGGCCATAAATCAAGTCCAATCATAAACTTTAGTCGGTCGGCTGCAAATTGTGCCGCCGGGAAAATATAGCAGTCAATACTAATAATAATAATAATAATAATAATAATAATAATAATAATAATAATAATTTATCACTGTATATATATATATATACATATATCGTCACCACACTGCATATTACACCCCCGTTGGACGTCGGCTGGGCGGGTCCCGGAAAAGTCGCCGCGATGAAATATGCTCCGACCATACGGAGTCGCGTCGCGTGTGACAGCGCTAAACTTCCTTGTATTGTATATAATATTATAGTTTGCGCGCACTGTCCGTCGCTTTGATGTTCACCGAGTGAATCATCGGCCCCGGCAGTGTCCCGACTTTTGTTGTTGCTGTTGTCGTTGTACGCACGTTATATACGTTATACACGTACACGAGCGAATAGTTTCTCGCCAAATATCGTAAAAATATGATAATCAGCAGCGGCATGAAGTTTTTTCTTTTTTCTCCTACTACAGCCTATTCAAAACTCTTAAAAACCACCCGTACCCGTCAGGAGAATCGCGGGGGGGGCCCGTAACAATAATAAGGCTAATGAAAGTAGACGTTTCGGAATTTCACGTTTATCGTTAGCATATTATACATATCGTTATTAAACTTCCTCCGATAAATGCGTCATTTCATACGAGCCATGCTCGGAGAAAAAATCAAAGATGCCGTAACTATAATAAAGCTACCGTCAGACGTTCCTTTACTCCTTATTTTTCGTAAGCATATTATCTAAATCAGCGATTCTTAAACTGTGGTCCGCGACACTATAAATGATTTCAGCTGTGGACAACATGTGTGTGTTGTAATAATGATATTGTTAAAAAGAAGGCTAAAGACATCAAAGCTAAAGACATCTATAAAACGATCATAAAAAACATGTTAATAAAACCATTGATTTTTTTAAAAATAAAGAATATGAATTAAGAAAACGTAGAAAACGTAGAGTCCGAACTTCGATTAAAACTTTCAAATATTGAGCCTAATATAGAAAAAAATTAAATTAACAACATTTCGAAAGTATGATAATAATTATTTATCGATGGGCTTTACTTGTAGCGGTTCTGAAGAAGAACAAAAACCACAATGCATAATACGTTTTGAAGTATTATTAAACGAGGCACTAAAACCATCAAAGCTAAAGACATNAGAAAACGTAGAGTCCGAACTTCGATTAAAACTTTCAAATATTGAGCCTAATATAGAAAAATTAATGTGAGAAATGCAATATCATCCTTCACATTAAGTATACCTATAATAATTTTAAATTATAAGATTAATTTCAAATATCATAAAAGTAAAACAATAATTAATTTTCTATGTAAGACAAAATGTTAATGTAATAATATTAAATATAACAAAAATAATTAACAAAATATTTTTTATACTTATTTTATTTTTATTTACCTTTCTTTTAAATATATTGGTAATTGTAACATGAAATATTTTTTAATAAAAAAAATGGTAATTCCTAACAAAATTAATAAGGTGGCCCACGATTTAAAAATGTCCTTCATCAGGGGTCCGCGTAATAAAAAGTTTAAGAACCGCTGATCTAAATGATAAAATACCACACGTACGCCCATCTAGTTTGGTTATGAAGCAACCGCTTTTTAATTTAGATTAAAAATGATTTCGTCGAGAAAAAACAATTTAAAACTTTTTCGGACGAGAGGAAATATTACCGTTTTTCCCGATATTTGGAATTTCTAAAATTATAGTGATCACTATAATACTATAAACATTTTATCGTCTATTTTCCCGACAGAGCTGGTACTGTCGAGACAAAGTTTGCCAACAACTCGTCTCGTCACTCGTTTTCACATTAGAGAATGTTGACAATATTATTTAACTACATGCATTGCATTTATTCGTATGCACTGCGACGCACCAACCCATTCCCTATCATTTTAAAATTTCAATTATTTTTTAATTTCATTATTCAGCATGCATGTCGCCGCAATTAGATGCTTTTAGTTTAAACGTAAGTTCCGGATTAATATCTTTGTCCGGCCAAATATAGTACATTCATGTAATACGCGGATATGGCGAACATAGGCGGTATATTATGCCGACTAACTGTATTCTGACATCGATTAAAGTGAATTTTCGGAGGGCTTATGGTTTATAATATAATATTTCCCCACATAGTACAAAGAGACAAGAGCACCTGTGGTGCTGACCAATAACGAAACTATGGGGATCGTGTATTCGTGCCGTACCACTATATTAAATGTGACGTACAAAGGGGTCTACAACGTTGCGAATTTGAACATAATATTGTCCTGGTTATATATAATTTTCGTATTTTGATCATTTACCTAACTCGGAATTGCAAATTAATAATCTGCCAACCTTCCTCCCTCCCACCGATTTTGTCATTGGTAAACTCTATGTATCATAGTCCATAGACTTTTTTTCTCGTAAACGCCTTTTCGGTTAGTAAAAATGGTCCAATATTTTCGGACTTTGGTTCCTTAAAAGATAATCATTTTTTGGTCGGTAGTACTTAATTTAAAAAATAAATATCTTCATTCCCAATAGTTTTTCTCTAAAATAAAAAAATAAAAAAAAAAACAAAACATCTGTTTGATTTTTGATTTGTTATTTGCCTAAGCTGTACAATGGAAAAAAAACACGACTAATACTGCGGCGTCCAGCATCGATATTTGATTGCAATGATTTACAAGAGAATACCTTAGTTCGGAAAGAGTGCCACGAGTCGAAAAAAAAGTATGAGGCGCATTGGAGTTTATAGTATAATGCATATACGATTAGTACCATGAAACCGTAGTTTTATTTCGGCTTTATTCGTGCGCGTTCCACATGCATTGTTTTTGACAATATTTGAAAAGATTATCATAATAATAACACTATAATAATCATCAGATATGGATTATAACTTGTGTGAAATTTCCAGGAGTATAATATAGTTTTGTTTATATTGTAAGTTAGTTGTTGCTGTAAAGTTTCTTTTTTCGTGCGGCTCATAGTGTGCGTATTCGATGACAGATATATATCAGTTTTGAGAGGGAGTGGGTTAAAAACTCACAGAGATGCAATTTTTAAGTGTTAAGTTGTAGGTAATAAAATATAGCAGGCAGACCGGACAGTATTTACAAATTATTATTAAAAGTAGTTACATATTACACAATCCGAATTTCGGATAATTCATTTTATCCAGATTCTAGAATCTGATCCGTCCATCCGGATCTGGGATCCAATCCGCTCATTAGTGTAAAATGGATTAGGTGATAAAAAAGTATAGAAACTAGAAAGTGGATACCATCATACAACTTGGGATAGATAAACGGGTATTATGTTAAATTGCTACAGCAGCACTATATTTGAGACAATCGGCTATATTTTCAGCTAAACTAAAATAATAAGTATTATTTATTAGACAATCCTGATTTAAACCCTAATCCGAATTAAACGGATTGTAACGTTTATTTTAATCCGCGAATTATTAATCCGGGTATGAATTTATCTAGATTTGGTACTCATCACTAATATAGTATAATATATCGATGAACAAAACCACAAATGGGAGCAAGCGATCTATCAATTGCCTCTTCCCCCGGTGTCCACCACTAGCCGTATATTATAATAATATAGGCGCCTACCTGAAAATTCCATACATATTTCTATTCGCATAAAATATATGGTTGATATACCTATGAATACATTTATCCTTTCGTTGTTAAACTTCAAATTAAGTAAGTTATTATTATATACGCGTGCGTGTGACTGCACCGTTGCTCAAGCCACGTTTACGACAGTTTGACATTTAATTTCATTTATTTACCTCTATACGGCGCGTAATGTTTTCGTGAATCAGTGACCAAAGAAATAATTGCACGGTATTATTATTTATGTATTTCATATGACATAGATTCGGTGTAGGTAAATAAACCGCAAATAAAATATACAATTAATAAAATAAATGACGAAGTAAATAACATGAAGTCAAAGATTCTATAGAAACAGCAGCGACGGGAGTAATAGGAACAAAAAGAAATGTATCAAAAGTGTGGTTCAATAATATATGCGAGGAAGCAATACGGAGAAGGAAAGCTGCTCGTGAAAAATGGTTAAAGGATACGGACAATGAGACAAAGAGAACAAGGTTCATCACACGACCAAGGAAGCAGATAATATTCTAAGATGTGAGAAAAGAAAATTTGTATGTAACTTACTAGAAAGGACGGAACAAGGTTTTAAAGCAAATAAAACACGTGATATGTATAAGACTATTAAGAATTTAAGTGGAGATTTCAAAAGAAGCGAACGTTTTATTAGAGATAATAATGGATCCTTGGTTACTACAGATGAAAGTATAGCTAAAGAATGGGAGAAATACTTTGAAGAATTACTGAACTGTGAAGAACCAGACGAATTGTTCATATTTAACCTAGGAAATATAAACAACCAAGAATGTCCAGAGCCAACTCTAGAAGAAATAGACTTACAAATAAAGAATCTGAAAAACAATAAGTCTCCAGGCGAAGATGGTTTCCAGGCTGAATTACTTAAAAAAGGAGGGGAGGACGTGACACAATGGATCTGGCAAGTGATTAAAAAAATATGGGTAACGGAAGAATTTCCAGAAGATTGGAAAACGTCCCTAATCTGCCCAATACACAAAAAAGGAAATAAACAAGACCGTAATAATTATAGGGGAATTGCCCTACTGAATATGGCGTACAAACAAAGTTTTCTCAAATTGTATTCTAACAGACAATTGGTGAATATCAAGGTGGTTTTAGACTGGGNTTGACTTCAAAAAAGCATACGACAGTATTCATAGGGAAAGTCTCATAAATATTCTGAAAGAGTTCCATTTTCCCCAGAAGCTGGTCAATCTAGTGTCAATCAGCATCATGGAAACCGTGGTCAAAATAAAAGTCGGAAATATGAAGTCTGATCCAGTTACAGTAAAATCCGGCCTTAGACAGGGTGATTCCATCTCACCTATTCTCTTCAATTTGGTAAAGATAACATCACAGGAGAGTGGAGAAGAAGGAAAAATATAGAGCTACAAGAAATTTTTAATGAAAATAACATAGCAGAGACGATCAAGAAAAAAAGGTTGCGGTGAGCAGGACATGCAATGCGAAGCCAGAACTCTTTACTAAGAATGGTTTTAGAACAGAATCCAGTAGGAAAAAGGCCTTTGGGAAGACCAAAATTGAGATGGGAAGATTTAGTTAAGAGAGATATAGAAGTCTTAGGAGGCGGAGCAAACTGGAAGGATTTGGCGATGAATAGAGATGCCTGGAGAATTGGTTATGAGACGGGATGGTCCTAGCGGCCGATTAACCCAAGAAGAAGAAACAACATGAAGAGGGTAACTAAAGTTAGATTTGAATCTAAGACGAGGTATGGTAGGGTGATAAAAATAAAACGGTAAAACTATTAATTATTTATAATAGTACGACTAATTTACAATTATTTAAATTCTAACGTTTCCAATCATAGTACCACTAAGTATGAGGAGTTTTTGATGACTCCGAAAACCGTTCCGTACCTTGCTTTCCGTCGCCCCTTCTAGATATTAATGCACTAGTTCGCCTAAGACATTATTTCTCATATAGAGTATTTATATTGTTAAGCGTAAAATGTAAAGATAAAAATATGAACATCACGACGTTGTAATTTTAACGAGACAAAACAAACATCGATTTATTAGCCCGCATTTATTTTCTCGTCGAATGTGATTTTTATACCATTTTATACACTGCATGTGTGGCAATATAAACATTCGTTTTTTTTATTTTACGAATTGGTTATGTCTTCGGGGGGACACCCATTTACAGGTACAGGTCAACAGTTTGATGAATTTAAAAATTTGACCGGGTTCCTTTTATTCTTTATTTCAACATAAGAACGGTTTTTATACCGTTTAGTGTTTTTATTATTATTTATTTATTTTTTATTGAATTACAAAGTCTTATTCAAGAATCACGGCGTCTGCATCTATATATTTTGTATACGTATCTCCTCCTCTGATTGAAGGAATAGGTATGCAAGTGGGTAGGTACAGGCACAGACACACACGTATCCGTTCGTCTGTCGTGATATTATTGTTATTACATTTTAGAGACCTGAAAGACAAACGGATCATGCGTTACTAACGATCGGAACGTTTGTGCGACTATGACGCCGCAGTGTACGAGGAGTCCGATGTGAAATAATAGTAATAAAGTTTAAGGATGATTCATCGATTTTGCGTAGGTGTGTGTGTGTGTTTGTGTATGTATATTATATTCACACAAGACGTTAAGAGAAACGTTCCATAATAAACGACAAGGGTTGAAAATATCGTCGGCGGCAATGATAGATGGGTTATGAAAACGAATGAATCTCATTTAAATAACTAAAACGAGCAGCTCCAGACGTCTGCGAACTCGTAATATAGCTCTGTAGTATCATAGAGGAGGGGCCCGGCTGCCGTTATTGTTATTATTATTATGACTATGTACGAAAGATAATGAATCCGGTGTTCTTTATATATTTATTTCATAGTATAATATAAATATAATTATATTCATACAGAGTGATTACAATATAATAGTAAATTCGGTTTCCACGCGTTTTCGCGGAAATTAAATATTAATATTGATTCCAACGGATATAGATGTATACAGATTGTTGGCATGGACCCAAATATAACAACGTAAATATTTCATGAGAGAAACACTAACTGAAACCAGACTCAGAAACACGACTTTTTAGATATATTTGAAAAAACCAACTAATATAATATGCGGGTATAAGAACACAAGATCTGTAAACAAAATTATCATAGGTCCATTGCGAGATGATGAATCAATGAGCATCGCGTGTATTGAGTAAAGGCTCAAGAAAAACAATAAATTTTTGGTGGGTTTTAAAATTTTCCACTGGAATGAGAGGTATATTAAAATGCATGTTATTTAATTGTTAGTTTAGTTGCTTTAATTACTCACAAAAAAAAATTGTGTTCGTGTTTTGTATTTGCTAAACTCATTTATTAAAGCATTGTCTTACTTCAATGCTCAGCTGGTAACATCAAATTCGTATGGGGTTAAAAACCAACAATAATACGAATATCAACCGGAATATTAAAAGAGAGGAGTGCAAGAATATATTAACGAACAAGCAATATATGGGGGAAAAATCGGTTTAAAAATATCGTCTGAGGCGCCCCCCCCCCTCATAAATACGTCTCCGAAGTATAACGAATCTTATCTATATTTTACAACAGTATAAAAATGATTGACCCTTATTCCCGAATACCGTCATTAAAGCGTATCATTTTGAAATAATTTTTTTAAAATAAAAGCCAATAGATATCTTCAAAATCCGATTCGAAAAAAAAAAATACAAATTAACTGTGATATTCAATAATATAGTGATATTCCTTTGTAAATATAGGTGTGCACATGGAACGAAAATCGTATGTAGGGACAGCTACTTGTGATTGTTTCGACGATAATATGCAATAGCTTCGTGTACAGCGCGTTTATCATTTTAAATGGAAAATTTTCCTCGGAAAACTATATTTAAGCGGTGCAAATAATTTTAGTTGCGTGCTATTTCTACGCCGTTTTCAGATCTTTTATATATTATACGAATGTCCAGGTGCATTTTATTATCCAGAAGGTGCGCGCGGAAATCGTCTGGTATTTACTATATTATAAGAGTATATAGAAGACAGAGACGACGGCACGCCACTTATTTTATTGGGTGTAAAAGGCTCTTAAAGTACCGTTCCTTCCCCTCCCCACCCAACCGTCATCGTGTCGTTGTATATGATGAAAAAAAAAATAATAAAAACACACTTTCCAAGCACTACAAAAGCAAAAAGCCTTATGACAGCTGACCGACCATTTGTCTTACACAAATTAATATTGTAGTTCAACAACTTGCCCTCCGAAAAGACCTTCGGAACGTTTCGTTTTAATGGCGTATTATCGATAATTATTTATAGAAAGGTTAAGTGTTAAAAAACAATTTTTTGCCAATTTAAAAACTATGTATAGGTATATATTATATATATTTTTTAATTGTATGTATACTTTATACATCCGTACTAAAAATAATTAATATTTAACGTCTAGCTAGGTGTTTATTTTACAACATTTTAAAGTGTACGGTAACCGATATTATGTACATCTAAAGCAATAATTTGTGTCGCCTTAAACTAAACAAATACATCTACAATAGCCAAACATAAGTAACTAAGTAAAATATCTGGATAATTATACAAACGCGAAAAAAATTATGCGTACAGCAGAACTCCCATCACTATTATAGAGTCAAATAGGCCTATTTGTTGTCACTACCATAATCCGTAGTTTTGTTTTTGTGATAAGGAATTGAACAAAATACGTTTTATCAAAATAGAGCTACAACACGATCGAGCAAATTTGTCGGCGTATCAAAGGATATAGAAATACAAAAGAAAACCTATACTATTGAGCATAAAAAAAACTCTGCGATGTTACCATTTTCAATTTTGAATAACATAATTCTACAAAAAATATTAATTTAAATAATTATAATAATTCAAAATATAGTATGAATAAAAATAACACGATTTGATAGTCAATAGTAGTCAAATTGCATAGATCTGTTTGATAATTATAATAATAGTATTAAAAATAATAAAATATTTATACTTCCTTGTTACTGCCCATCGTAAAGTTAATGATAAAATAGTTAATGATGATAATAAATTAAATTGGTAGCTTTGTATCTGTTTCCAAGTTGGCTTAAATATAATAGTAGATATGCCGTATTCTTATAATTTGAATACTGTTCGTAAACTTTTATATTAAATTCCGTATTAAAAAAAAAAAAAAAAAAAAATAGAAACTAAAACTTTTTTAACGCAATATATGTGACACGATTATGGGTGATCGAACACTACATAAACTGAATTATTTCTATAATAATTTATACATAGTTACTTATCTTTTTTAACCCTCTAAAAAGGTCAGTACCTATATTACGGATAAAACTAATATTTATTGATATCTATAACATTTGTGAAGTGAATAAAGCTGGGATCGGCTCACGGCTCGTTCAAGTTTGGTATCATAATAATTGGTGTATAATACGTGAAAATAAAAAATGTCGGCAACTTGAATGTGACACAACGTCGCATATAAAATAGTCTATGCTCAATCATGATATACCGCAAAATAGGTACCTAAATAAATAAGTTTTCGATATTTTTGCTAATATACAAACAGATGGCGGGGTCAGGAGTCGAAAGTTCATACCTTCTTCTACAAATACGTTCACTACAACAATTCTATTTATATGTACACAATTTAGCCAAGTAGCTTATTTTCATGTGTCTGTAAGAGTATTTATTAATTCTTGGTATTTCACGTGACAACATGAAATATGCGATTGAAAGTTCAAACCACCTAATGGCATATCTTTGATACTTAACACTATTTAGGTCCTTTAGGGATGTAAAAAGTAAGAAAAAACTCCCTCCTCCCGCAACAGCATTATGATGAGATTCGTATTGATATTCAACCGATTTTTCAACACTTCAATCCATCTATAAAAAAAAACTCCAATTCCTAAATTTGAGCACTTTTAGTCCAGACAGAGTCACTACTAGTGTTCAAATGTACCGGAAAAACATATATATTACAGACACTATAGTCCAAATAGAGACCTATTTCCAGGAAAAATTTGATTAAAAAAAAAACTAATAGTCCGTGTAATCTAATAGACAGGAATAATAATAACGTAATAAAATAGGTTTAGTACACTCAAAGTATGTTCTTTTAATAAATTAATTAAAAACAATAAATTGTAAATCCTTTGATATTACTTAATCTATTGTGATACTTTAAATCAAAGTTTCATTGAATATTACATAAAATAAAATCCGTAGTCCCGAGTTTATTTTCATGAGCGTTTGAAGTTAAAATTTGATGCTAATCGTAAAAATCATGGAATTTCGCGTACTATACTATTTTCCAATTTATGTAGTTAAAACGTTTTAACTAAAAAAAAAATACTCAAAAATTTAAGTCGAAAAAACACAGGCAATCATTGTGAATTATTTTAATAACATTTTCAATTTATGTTCTTCGAAAAATGTTTTAACGAAAATTTCTCTTAGAGTCGTTTTTTGTTAGCAATTGTTTACATTTTAACGTACGCTATAGATCTTCATTCTTTATTGCATACTTCCCTACAGTTATCGATCTCTATTCTTTATTGCGTACTTCCCTCTTACATTGGCAAACCCACGTAGTCCAAAGTATGCACATTTTTTTCTAAGGATACACTAATTAACAAAAGTTATAAATTATAAAACAAATTATTTTTTATAATTGAATTAACGTTGAAATACTTAAATATAATGGGCTAGCTACGTTATTATAGATTCTTCAATTAAGGTCACATGCATACGTCACGAACTTATTTACTGTTTTATGATTCAATTATATTGGTAAATTGAGATTAAGGTTAAATTCAATTTGGATTGAGCGCAGTGACGTGGTGCCCGAGAAATTTCATTGGGAGTGGATGTAGCAAATATTAACCATGAATACATTTTAGAACAATTTTCATTAATCTCTTGTTTACAAAACTCGACTATAGGAATTTATAAAGTGTCCGAAAAATTACATTTTCATCAATAAAGCTTTTCTTTGTGACCCGGTTGAAAAATATACATTTCAATATTAAATAACTGAATTAATACTTATAGATATTGTTTTAAAAAGCTTGTGGATGAGTGAGGGGGATGACTCCTAACTTCACCATTGATTATACATTTAATACGAATTTGTTTTTGATTTTAATGTTGAACTGTATGTGTGACTGACGATACATTATAGGAAAATGATTAAAGTGATTAAAAATAAAAAATTATTAACTCGTACTTTTCGCCCATTATTAATAAACGTTACGAGTTAAGACAGTAGAATAAATAATAGATTGAACAAAAAGTAACTACATAAATAAATTATTTCAACTAGAGTGGGAAAAATTCGTTAAAAAAAAATATTAAAAAAAAATGTTCAAACGGAATAATATATTGTATTAAAACCAAAAGTATTTCTTTTTACGAAAAACTCCTTGAACTGTTTTAAATTTAAACAGTTTTTTTAATTAAAAAAAAAAAGGCCAACCGATATGAATGCCTTTGTATATTTAAATTTAAATATACTGTTGTATACTTACGTAGCCGTATATAAACTGTATTTTAATCGAAATCTAAATATATTACGAATATAATATATTATTGTAAAGTAAAAAAAAAAAAAAAAAACCGCTTTCAAAAATTGCTTCATGATTACAAACTAATTATAATATTATATTAGGTATATTTTTAAGTCTTAGAAATGTAAATGGTCCGCCTAAATCAAAATCATAATGAGCTTTTTTTCATATAATAATATTTTTAATTAAAAATAAATAGAATATAAAATCGTTATAAAGACAAAAAAAAAAAATAAATATTGTAATGATATGCTATTTAAGCTATCATACATTATGTAAAATAAAATATTATATAAAAAATAAATCAAACAATTAACAACGGAAATTATAGTTAAACATTTACATCCGATGCCATTCTTTTTTCTTATCAAATAACATATATTTTAGTGCGATATTTACTCATCGTAAGGAGATAATACTTAAGCTATCATATATAATTAAAATAAATTATATAATCAATATTGTAAAATAATTATAATAATTTGTAGCCATTAATTATTAGATTAAGTTGTTAGTATTAACCAAATTAAGATAATACANCACAGTGTATGTATTGTTCCCGTTGCTTTTGGACAGATGATCACAAGCGAGTGTAAAAGACTACGCAGAGATTCTTACAAAAGCACGGGAACCTAGAACAGTATTTTATATTTAAAAAATTAATAAAATAGAAACAGTTATTATATTGAAATCTTTTTATTTACTACGGTCACCTATATCAAATTCAACAGATCAATTTGCCGCCTGAAGAAGAAAGGTAATCAAATTTATAATGAATTTATACGTGTGAATCGAATTTACATAACTAGGTACCTCCCTGCCTTATTTTTGAATTACTACAATATACAGACGGAGTATTAGTTTCAATAAATTTAGATGTTGAAATTTCTGATTGCCGTTCACACGTTGACGAAATATTCCACTTTTAGGTCTTCATAGGCGGGCAAATGATGGAGCACTAATAAAACAACGACGTGCGCTGTGCCGCCACACAAATTATGTATCTAACCATTTTTCCCCACCAAAACTTAAAAAGCGGAATATCTCATCGACGGGTGAACGGAAATTAAACATTTCCACGCCGAAATTGATTTAAATCTATTGATGGCGTTTTAAATAAAAGTTGACGAAATCAAAAGTAGGCACATCCCTGAAAATAAGGGCGACGAGAAAAAAGAATAAGAAACATAACGTTTCAGAGCTATTTATTTATTGAATGTTTCAAAACATTTGTTTTGAAATAGTTTCTAAAAAAAAAGTCAATACATTCCGAGACAACGATCGTCTAATGTTGATCACCGTGACTTATTATTATAATATAGCACCACGACGCGCGGCTATAGCTCACACCTCAGATGAGGAAATTCCGCATCTTTTAATGTACCGAGCGCGAAATAATATAATAATTAATGCACCGCCGTGCCTTTCCCATCGAAACAAACAAATTCAGCGATTATTGAACGTCGCAAATTAATTATTCATTACTCACTGTGTACACTGTGCAGTGATGTACTGGAATTTTTAAAACGCGCGTCGAATAGAATAATACAATTTCCTGGAATAATAGGGTAGCTATGCAGTTGATCAATATAATATTATTATTATAATTATAGTGCGAAAAATTAAAGGAACAAATTTCAATGACAATAGACGGAGCACTTGTAAAAAAAAAAAAACGTCAATTATATATTCATGAGAATCTGTTATAGATTTCGATTCGAATATATGTATATGTATACAAAAATGCACTAAAATGCAGTGCATTGAGCCACGTATGAATCACGAAAATAAAAAAACAAATGTCTAATAATGTACATTTAAAAAGTGCATAAATACTATAAATTATCAACTAAATGGAAAAAAATAAAAAAACATAATTCTGAGGGTTCTGCTCGTGGGTTTTTACGAATTGTTAATGTCAATTGGATTTTGTTTCAGGAGTACACAAATTTGGAGACAAATTTTAATTTTTTTTAAAATTTTCAAAATAGTCATTTTTTAAAATATATAATTCTAACAATTTGAATGTATCATACATTCATATACGATTAATGAATTCTGAGTAATAACCATTTTAATTTCTAGAGAATAGTTCCGCGATGCACAATCAAAATAAGCACCGTAATTCCGTATCTTTTATTAAATATTAATTGTTTTCATGCCTATTTTCTATACTTACAAATCCACTATAACTAATAAAATTATTAGCCGATACATTAACATTTTTGATATAGTATATTTTACAAAATGGATATATTTAACATTTTAAAAACTTAAAAAGTTGATAAATAAAGTTATGTTTGTAAGAGGTTAAAATAAAAATGTAATTTGTCTTAACTTCGTAGACGATAGCATTCTGATGGACAGAAGGTGATTAGATTAAATAATCGACGGACCGCAGATAAGAAGACACCAGTCGGTGTATTGCGTAACTGGACAACTATTCGTAAAAATAATTAATTAAATACATTAACTCTGCCCGAAGCTCCTCGACGTCGTCTGAAAAGGAGATGGTGCAAAGACCTTCTAATCGAATAGCTCTAATGATCTTATTCCTCGCTTACTCACTTCACTCATAATCTCCTCTAAGTCATAGATTAACTTAACTTGTATTCATGCTAAGTGTTNATTCACTTATTGTGCTTATTATAGTATAGTAGATTGTGTAATTCATATTAAAAAAAATTTAAAAAAAAAATTTGTCTTAACTTAGACAGAGTTATTAGCTTTCGGACAACACTGTAAGACACCCTGTATATACCTAGGTACTCGCAGATCAGCAGTATGTTGCCGTCAACGTGGAGGTTGTCGATTTTGAAAATATAAAATACTTCAGCGTTAAGACGAGTAAAACTTTCTACTGCTCTCTCGCGGTATGACCGAGTACAGACGCAATATTTTAGTCAGTTATTACATTACATGTTCTATAGTCATATTGCAAGACGAGCATTTTCTTTTATAGCTACGTCTGTGTACTCAACATAATTAAAACGAAAATTAAAAGGATATGGCAATATCATAATATTATTGTGTTAAAATAAAGCAACTTTATTCGTTTATAATTTTTTTATTATAATTAATTATTTAATTTTTTCTCTGTCTGTTAATAACTTGTCTGCAAGAAATTTCACTTGAACCATCAGCTAAAAAGAGTATGTTTTAGTAGCAAATTAACAAATATTTCGTTTATTATTATTATTATTATTTTTTTTTTTACACCGACAGCAGCGAAGGATTTGTTTTCATAATACTTTTCCACTGCTACCATCATTTAATAATAAACATGATTAAGTGATATGTTAAAATCCTGTTTTGCCTTTCATGGGGTAGACTTGAACTTCAAAAAATAATAAATACTAGGGTGTGGGTTGAGTGAAGTACCTAGCATCATCCCTTTACAAGTGCTAACTTAAGCCTAACCTATACATACGACATTGAGCTGACGGCAAAGTCCCAATCAGGGTGGACCGTCGTGGAGGAGTGTCAGACTGACTGAACCGTTGGTGGTTCATCCTTACCTTAGCTTCCCTGAGCCTCTTCACCTACTCTTTACGACACAGTATATCCTCTATCGTGCCGTAGAAGGATTGAGTACCGTGAGAAGACGCGGTTAAGATTTGATCGTATCTGATGCGTTCGGAGTTCCGGGCAGAATGTCCACTGGCCCGATCAGTAGATCGCTTGGGGCAATACTTCTGCCACCGACATACACTCTAACCGCTTGCTAGAAAGGTTCCTAGTGTGGAAAGTTAAAAAGCGTGTGCTCAGTAGTGTTTTCCGGTTCTAGACAGTACTAACACTTTGCATCTGGAGCATGTTCCATGCAACAAAGGTAATGACTGTATCACCCTTGATCTGAAAACACACTCGAGTGACGTGAAAATTGAGGTCCTTGGGATGTCTCGTCGCCCATCTTCTCAGATATGATAGAACCATATGGGGGTCCATGCCATCTTCAGCGTACGACTATAGCTGTTGGCCCACGCATTGATGACAATCCCATGCTCAATTCATTGGACCTATATCAACGTCTCGATCCTGACCGGATCTTCGGTTTTTGCATGGATTACCCACAATTTATTGGCCTTTTTTTTTGTGTATTGATCACGTAGCGTAATCAGGAAAAAATCCCGGTTAATTTTGTAACACTTATTCACTAAAAAAGTCATTTTTTTCACAAGTGAATAGCACGATAAAAAGTCCATTACGTCCATTATATTTGAACGAAATAGTAAACTACATTTAACATAACGACTTATTTTAACAACTAACAATAATACTTACTTTTTAAATACTTAAAAAGTGGTTTTCAAGACGTTTTAGGAGAGGGATGGGTTATAACCACTTCTAACGATCCCTTGCCTACGCCATCGGTCCAAACTACACATTGACGTGATGCGTGAGCGGATTTCGTGATGAACTCACGATCTTTGGTTTTATTTTATATGTTCTTATCAGAATTCGTTTTCTTATACCGTTTTCCAATACCTACCTGTCTATCGAGGTAGCTATAAATGTTTTTACAAATTTCCCTCCCAATATCCGTTGGTTCAACTATTTCGTTTGATTATCAATCAGGATTCAAATTTTTTAACCATTATCGGGGAGTTCCGACTCGAAAATTCGGATTTAATGGAAATTCTATTATAGTAGGTAAACACCTTGAATTCGAAACATTGGCGTGGGATTCACCACGACCTTAACAGAGACGTATTTATCGGAATAAAGTCACGGCGATTAGTTTTTAATAGAACTATATTATAATATACAATTTTCCAATTGATAATTTCTACGTCATTAAATAAAACGAAAGACAAATTTTCCTTGAAAATATTTCCGAAAAAGTTCATATTTATTATATTATTTTATTTTAAAATAACAAAATCGTATCAATTGTTAAAAATAATTTTCAAATATTTTATTTGTCTGATAACATCGACGGTAAACTCGGGGTATACTCATTGTAATCAATCAGTTTACCTCTAATGGCAGACGATAGAGTAACACTAGTACGTACTGATAGTAACTAATTACCCTAAACGATTTAAAGGCTTTAACAGCATCTTTAACTTTTTAAAATAACTGGCAAAAATGTTCTTACCCCGGTAATGCCGCCACCGCCACCGCTGCTATTACATTAAATACAATTTCAAAACTATCGGGATGATTGACTAATTTTAAAATAAAATAATAAATTATTTTAAGCATGGTTTATGAAAAAAATAACTTTAAAACACAACCGTTTGTATTACAGTCGATCGATTTGAATTACAATAATTCCGAAAGTCCATAAAAGACTTCGGAAAGTCGCTATTACGTTACATACGCATATTATTTTTATAATCCGTGTCCTTTACAAGTAATTGCGGGCGATAAAACATTCGCGGGCACATTCGTAATACTGTTGAAAATACGAATAAAAGTTTTTGTACAGACATTTCTCATCGTGGGCACTTATATAATATTATTATATATGTTATATTTGAACGAATTCGTCGCAATACTTATTCGAGAAATGTATTTTATTCTTTAGTTAAAAACCGCCAATACGGAAAAGAAGTGAATAAAAAGAGTTGCAGGTAGGTATTATAAAAAAAAAAAAATAAAAAAAAAAATCATATCAATAATAATAATAAATAGAAATATCTGACCGTCGCCAATCTCGAAAGAAAATAAAATCACAGAATGTTTGATAAAAGATTGCGACAACAATGCGAATACAATTTTAATTTTTAATTTTTGATTTTATATTGTTATGATTTTGTAAGTATGTATGCGATAATGCTATGACTAGCATATACAAATTCGGACCGTATTTTAAAACGTCCGCGGTTGCGGAACTGATGCTATTTCCCGTCGGATGATGCTGGCGCGTTTGATTCTCGCGCGGACCGATTTCGTATATTCCCGAGCATTAATATACGACGTAATGTTGTGCACGGTCGTTTCGACAATATTATTATTCGAAATTAGTTCTGTCGTATAAATATAACAGCGAAGCGTAAATTCCGCGCTGCTAAACCGAAATAATAGCCAACGGGTGACCTCAAATACGACAAGCCGCCGTGTCCGAAAAACCGATCGTGAATATCGAACACCGCAATTATCATATTTGAATTTATACTGAAAATCGATAAAACGCGATCTATCTGTAAAAAAGTTGCGAACAATTTTAAAAATGTATTGTTTTTTTTTTTTTTGCCGGTTATATAATGCACTGATATAACGCCTTTTCCCCGCTATTTTCGAACAATTCTAGCGTCTTCCTATACGGACTAAAATATGAATTTTAACTCGGAAATTATAATTGTTTCGTAGGCGAATTGATTGATGTGATAAAATCCAGTTTTCAACTTACAAATTTAACCACATCGTGTTGCGGGTAAAGGGCTTATTTTAAACTCCATACACAATCCTACAATATCGAAGATGTTCTTTTTGGGGGGAGGAGTGGTTCACTTTTCAAACTACGACTCTCCATCAAATATATGGTAAAATGTATAATATATTGAATAAATTATTACACATTATAGCGTACAGGATGATTCACTATGTGACGTGCTAACGTCATATTTTTTTAGTTAAATTTTGTATGTATACAAATTATTCTAACTTTTAGAATTGCCAAGTGTAACCAAAACCGATATTTTCGAATACTTTTTCACAATTGTGATTTTTCACAATATTTAAAGAATATCCTGTAACGCTAACAACTTTGATTTTTCAAACGAGAACCTATATTAAAAATTCCATAGATAGACAGAGTACATATTAGATATATAAGATTTTAGTGTTAAAAAAAATCGATTTCCGTCAATATGTTCACGAGATATTCCACTATTAAGTTTAGGTTCTTTAATCCGTTTTTTTTTTCAAGCCATCCATTTATTTATATCTTTTACTTATTGTTCTAGCTAGTAACAGATCGTAAATTATATTAAATAAAAAATAAAATAAAGGTTTAGGTAGGGGGAGAGTAGTGGAGTATTGTTTATGTGGCGGCACGGCGCTCGGTTTTATAATAGTTATCTACTACTCTTCCTCTAAAATCTAAGTATTCGAAAATTTCGACTTTGACTACATATAAAAATTCCATAAATCAGAATTTGAATGTGTAAAATGTAACCATACAAATAGAGTGAGCGTGCTTAATGAATCACCCTGTACAATATTATACTGTTTAGTATACGGTTACATTTTTTTTTTTTTTTTCCAAAAAAATATTTTCCATTAGGTACTCGGAAAAATATTCGATGGGGCTCACGGATGTTTTTTTTTTTCTAACACAATTGATTTGAATACTGTAAACTACAGTGGCGTAGATAAAGAGGACTAAGGAGACTATATCCCCTTCCTATGAACTGGGTTTATGTACGCATAATATTTTACGATTTGAACGATACAACGTTTTCAGTTATATCTTCCACGCTTGAAAGAACGGTTTTTACATTGTACCGCATGAAATCATGACTAAGGAAAATTACGATATCACAAAATAGACTCAATAGTTTAGCTACAGTTAATATAAATAAAAAAAAAAAAAAAAAAACAAGACATCAATAATTGTTTATCGAAATTATTTAATTATAAAAACTATACATTTACCGCCTTTATTCGAAATTAATCCTTCTCCTTGGAAGATACAGCAGTCAGTAATTAATACATAGTGAAGCCTCCCAATGGCGGGCGATTTTTTTTTTTTTTTAGGAACGGGCACATTTTCATTATTTTTCAATGGGGGAAACCTCCGAATCCGAATAGCAGACACTTAATTTTAATCTTAATTTGAAAATAATGACAAAACGACGACAGAAAAACGCGCTCTCATGGGTATTATAACGATAACGAACTCGTTCATTAAAGTAGTTATCGGATAATAAGATTACGACAAATAATGACCATTATGACGAAAATATCAATGTCTCAACTGCTGATGGTTTGTGCATTTCGTTAGTTCGTGACGGTTTTCGACGCGATAAGTTTTTTAATTATGTATGTACAATACATTTTAGATTCGAATTGTACGAAAAATACGATTTTTTTTTAAAAAAAAATACGGCACAACGATTTCATTATTTTAAATGTTGTCCGGCTTATGTTTCTTCCATTTGTTTCATTTGTTTTGGAAAAAAGACAAGACATTTTTTATTTAATTTTTAATTTTGTTTGTGAGTAAGTAATCAAGTTTTTTGATTTTATTAATAGTTTTAGCAATAACTATGAAAAACCGGAAAATGGCGAAAAATGAAAACCGATAAATTTGCGAGAATAATTATTTTTTTTTATGTAATTCGGTTAAAAATATTAGTAGACAATTGAAACTTATATTTACATTTTTTAGAAGTGGCGATATTTTAAAAACATTTAAGCCATTTTTTAGCTATATATAGACATTTTTTTTCGTAATTTTTATTTAGTAGGTATTCTGTGGAAAAAAATGTTCTATAACAAATACAAATACTTAAAAATTTAACAAGAGATTCAATATAAGTCGTGCTTAGTGGTAAAAAAAAAAAAAATGAGCGTAATGTAGGATTTTTTTTTTATAAGAGTTATAAAATTAAAATTTTAACCAAAATATTACCGAATAACCGAACTTTGTATCGTTTTTCATAAGCAATGGTTTGTCATTGGGTACACAGTTATAAGTTAAATAATTGTATAAATCTCACCTTACCAACTAACCCACCTACAACAGTGGTCGTACCAGTCCTCAGTATCAGCTTTTTTTTTTTCATTATTATATACAATATGAAGTTGGCTACACAGATATATAATATACCAATATGTTATCAGTTCCACAAAAATTTAAGATTTAATGATGTTTTAAATTTTCTTGTCGTCACTGTTCATAATATTCTTAGCAAAACTGTTAAGCATTACTACAATTTGAATTTCCTTGT